ATGCGTGCAGTGTTCTTCCGTCCACAGACCTCCTCGTCGTGTTTGGTGGTGATGTTCTTGCCTTTACCAACAAAGCCCTTTTTAGGGATAATAGTTGGTTTGTCTGAGCGTGTAAATGAAATGCAGGCAGGTCAAAAATCATTAACTGGTAAAGACACCTACAAATATGATTTAATATGTGGCACAAACAAAAAAGCAGAAATAAAAAGTACAGATATTACATGAAAAGCTTAGACTTAAACGTGAAATAATTTAGACTTAAAATTGAGGTATTAAAATCACTAAAAATAAATGAAAGTTTAATAGAAATATAATAAAACTAACTAATAAGAATGACAAAAGCACATAAAAAAACAGACTAAAATTTAAACAAATTAAAATATGAAAATATAAAAATAAAAGCTCATTTAAAATATTAATAAATGCAATAAGTGTATTAATATATAAAATAATTCTCAAAATAAAAATTAAATTAAATAAATAATATTAAAAAAAATAAAAAAAATATTATTTTTAAATTAATTTTGATAAAATAATAGCATTAATAATAATGTAATAATACTAAATCAGTGTTTCTAGGTATTGTAGCTCACCGGCTCTGTAAGGGTCATGGCGAGTGTCTTGCCAGTCCACCTCATCCTCAGAGCTGTCACTGTCCTCATACGGATGAACCATGCGGTAGTTCTCAAATGATATGGAGACTGGAAATTAATTGTTCAGGTTATAATGGAAGTATATACATAGAATGAGAACAAAACATGCATTAAAGTTACCATGAAATCAAAATGGACAATTCTTGATTTTTTTTATTGAATATTGTAGTATTTATTATAAACTATTCATCCGTGCACGTCATTATATTTTAGGCTGTGATGGTTTTTTTTATTAGTCTTTTCATTTAAGCATCTGATTAGTTTTAAATAATCATTTTTTGACTAATATTGCATGTATTTGTTAGTGCTACTGACAAGATTTTTGTAATGTTTTAATATTGTGTGCACCTGCCCGGGGACTGCAGATGGAAATTAGCATTTGCTAACTCTGGTACAAAACATCTTTTCGTAAGGTTAATGTATTTTGTACATTGTCCCTGACAAATAAACTAATAAAAAAAAAAAAATTAAATTCATGTGCCTCATAATCTTTAATCAAAATAAGTTTTCCTCCCTCTTGCATCCTCTCTTCTCTTCTCTTCTCTGATGACGTGTTTACTGGCGCAACATTTCTTCTTGTTGGAAAAGCTGCTTCACTCAGATACACGTCTTCATGGTTATACCTTTGCTGTCTCCATTAAACTTCTTCTCCTCCCTGCGCAGCTGCGTATCAAACTCGCGATCGAACTCCATCTGAAGCATCTGGGCCAGTATCAGGTCGCTGGACGTTTCCGCTTCTGAAGTGCAGGTCAGCTTCAGGTCGGTACTGAAAATAACATGAAGTAAATACATACAAAAGATGATTTCGCCTTCAGAAATGAAGAAAAACTCACTTCAAATAACTACCTTACACTTTTGTGATGACAGTACAGCTGCTGCCTTAGTTATAATTTGAAGTCAAACTAGTTAAATAGCAACTGCTGGTTTAAAAATAATTAAAAAAGGACAATTAGTTCTAAAAAGCCCTAGTTGTAGAGCAGCACGATTCTGGATAAATTGAGAGAATAAAGACTTTTTTGCTTCAAACAGAGATCACGATTGTCCCATGATCCTGAACAGACAACTAAACAAAATAACATGTGATTTACAAGAGGTTCCTAATTGCTGCAGTCTATTCAAAATGTTTAATTTGACTGAATTATAAAAAATAAAATGATTCAATGACTCACTCATGAATACTTTGCTTGTTTTATTAGTGGATGAATTCGCTTTTTTGAATGAATCTCTTGAAAGAATGACTCCATGTTAAACACATTTATAACAGTCACTTGTCGTTACCTGGTGGCATTATGTAATCAACACGATCTTTATTTGAAGAGTCAACTTACTTTCAAATGGTGATTCGCTTCCATAGACATCAGTGTTTATATCCGAACTGAAATCTTTTATCCCAGTACTTCACTGATAATATGAATATTTGTAAGAGAAATAATTATACTGTGTGGTGGAAAAGCCTGTTTGTGAAGCTGTTTCATACCTATACAAGACAACAGCTCTCTCTGGGTCAGCGCTAACACAGATCGAAAAGTTCTGGTGTGATTTTGCCAAAGGTTTAATAGACAAGTGGGTGTTTGAATCGAGATCGTGATCTTTTAAAGATTAATCGTGCAGCTCTACTTAGTCACTATACCATATATTACCATTGTAGAAATAATCTAAACCTAAGATGGTGGGGTACTAGACCCGTACTAATTTGATATATAGGTTTGTAAGACTCACTCTGGGCAGTCTGGGAAAGTGTTGCCCTCCTCATCCAGCTGTCGGGCCAACTCCTCACTCATAACATCAGCCAGAGAGCAGGGCGATGGTCCCAGGACGGGAGCGCCCCAGGGGCTCTGGGAAAACAACAGAATAATCACATTAATGACTGAAACACTCGATCACCAGAAGTTAGGCTTACTTATAACAGCTTACACCATCAGCAGTGAACAAGCAGAATAACAGCCTGTCACATGTGCCATGAATAGTAGGTAAACTTGTATGTACTGGCCTACATTAAAACAGTCGAATTGAGTTTTACATTCATGACAGTTAGATCATGTGGCAAAACATTTGCTCTTTTTAATACAGGGTGATGGTATGCAATGTGAAGTTTCAAGCAGTGCTATTATTGTTAGCTGAAGCTAAAACAAAAATGGCAAAAACTAAAACTACAAACGTTTTTGGTAACTGAAACAAACCAGCGAATAAAATATAGGCCTAAATATTACATAAAAAGCTTAAGACTTTAAAAACTAAAACAAAAAATTAAAATAATGAAAATAAATTAAAGCTAAATAGAAATATAAAAAAATACGATTGTCAAAAGCACATAATAAAACGAGAAAATATTAGTTAAAATGAAAACTGAAAATATAAAAAAGGTAATTCAAAATAATGCTATAATTGTTTAATACGGTAATAAATTGTGCTGTCAAACCGTTTAATCATGATTAATCGCATCTAACATAAAAGTTTGTAAATATATAAAATGTGTGTACATACAAATATATACACATTACATATAAACAAACTTATGTTAGATGCAATTAATCGCGATTAATCGATTTGATAGCACTAATAAAAATTGCATCTAACATACTGTAAGTGTGTAAATATATATATATATATATGTGTGTGTGTGTGTGTGTATCTATATACATATACACACATATATATAAATAAACAAACTTATGTTAGTTGCGATTAATCACGATTATTCGATTTGACAGCACTAATAATAAAATAATTCTTAAAATAAGGTTGAATTCTTTTATAAATAAATAAATAATAATGAACATGTTTATTTATATGAATAAAACAACAATAATAATAATATTAATAATGCAATAATAAAAACCATACTTAACGCTGGACTTAAGTATTGTAATTTATTACTTATATTATGACTCAAAAATGTCAAAGTCCACATGCTGAAGCTGACGTCACCCATAAACTTTTTTAAAATTCTATTCAAACACCTTCCACTGGGTAAAGTTCATCACGGTTTAGCTCCAATCCATTGGTCAGAGTCTGAGTCATCACATGTTATTTAGACTCATTACTCATCCTTCTGTTGTATAATGGTTGACAGGCCCGGTACTAAACCAACTCATATTATAACAATTCCCGGATTTTTTCCCCGACAATAAAACAATACATCAGACTGTTAGGAAATCTAACCTTGGTTTCTTGTGTGGTTACTTCAAGTTGGTCCATGTTGGTTGACAGAAGGTTTAGATTCAAGAACGTGGCGCCTGTAATACTTTCTTCGGGTTGTTGATTCGGTAAAACTCGTGTAAGGTTCGTTAATATCGGCTTCAACCCTATATGTAACAATACTAATTACTATCTTTGACCTAGACCGCTAAAACGTGGCTTAAAACAAGAAGTTAATTCGTTACCGACAGTGTGTCAGATAAAAATAGATGTGATCTACAATGGTTGGTTGTGGGACAACCCATTGTGACGTCAAGAACTTTTTTCAAAATAAAAGTACAATAAAAACATAAATGATACATTTTATATTTATGTAAAACCTGTTAACAAAAACAGTCAAAACCTTCTTTTATGTCCATTTATTTTTCTTTCATGTTATGAAACAATTTTTTTTAGATAATTATTAATTTCTTTACCTTTTTTTGCATTGGAAAACCATTCATATTTTTTTTTCCTTTAATGGTTGAAACTAATCACTTTATAAACGCACTTAGAATAATTAATTATCTCATTTATCATATGATTGGTTGTAATTAAAATATAACAATAATTTATTAATTTATTTAATTCAGTGTAAATTGTTTTATTTAATATATTTTTATTCTGTTTCTGTCGTTGTTGTGATTTGTAAATTTGCCTTGAACAATTTCATGTAACGTTATACAGCGGAATGCTAATTATTGATTTGCAATCAAAGGTAAATGGAAGAATAAAAGGCATCCGTGTTAAAATATTTGATTAAGCATCACGAATAATAATAAAATAATAATAAATAATATATATATAAGTAATTGTGTAATATTATTTATTATTATAAGTATTATATATATATATATATATATATATATATATATATATATTTATATTTATATATACATATATATATATATATATATATATATATATATATATATATATATATATATATATATATATATATATATATATATATATATATATATATACATATATATGTATATATATATATATATATATATACATATATATGTATATATACATATATATATATATATATATATATAATACTTATAATAATAAATAATATTACACAATTACTATAAAATTACGCATTTCCGGCCAAGATGTTTCTCAAAAAAGCTCTCGCATTAGAGCAGATTTCATTCAGGCTTTTATTGGTTAAAGACGTGCTGCGTGTCACAGTGGGCGTGGCAGCAGAAGCGAGGAAGTGCAGATGAGATGTCAGAACATTGAAAAAGAAGAAGAGTCTCAAAGGAGCTGTGCATGAAACCAAAGTTACTGATGCATCCAATCCAATGAACGTTGCTCGAGGGATTCTCGTTCTTATATTCTGCACACTTTTCATAGCATCTTATTTCACTAATAAGGTAAACTGACTTTGTTATACTTTGGACAGCACCAGTGTGTGTTTGTCCTGTGGTTTTTGGATTGCATGTACAAGAATGTATGCATTTTCTGAATGCAATTTAAAAACATTTCTGTGTCCTAGATTGTTAAATTATAGTACTGACATAATATATAATCGTATAATTGTTCTTTGCTTTACAGTATGTCCTGTCTATCTTAAAGTTTACGTTTCCAACCATTTTTCAGGGGTACGTATTCCTGACATTATAATCAAAATTCAGCTCCTCATTTCCATGATATTTCATATGTATTGTTATCATTAACGCTACAGGTGGCAGACCTCCACTGGGGCTCTACTGCTACTGGTTACATGGAAACTTGGTTTGGTTGAAATCAATGGATTCTCCAGGTAACTAAATATGCACTTATATAACACATGGATTATTATTTATGCATTATATATATAAATACAGATTATTATGATCTGTTTTGTAATATTTGTTCTCTGATTGTTCATCTGTTATAGATCGATATTTCTGTTTATGGAACTTTACTAAAAGCGACAGTGCTTTGGACCCCGCATGCGGGGTCCAAAGCACTGTCGCTTTTAGTAAGTAATAAACAAAATATGTTTAAAGATGAACCGTAGGAAGACTTCAGGATCTTTCCTATGCTGAGACTGAATGTGCAACCTTTTTATTTGCTTATGTTGAAATATGTTTGTCTTTCCTCTTCTTTCTTTTTTTTTAGCCCATTCCTTTTTTCTTTGTGTTACAAAATGTCTCTGAAGTCTTTGCTTTTCTCATGGTAGCAGTAACTCACAGAGAGGTAAGTCTGGATCCTGCTTGGTTAGGTGAGTTTTGATGCAGTTGGAATAATCTAAAAAAATTTTTTTTTTTTTTTTGCATGCTTTTTTTTCTTCAACATTTATTTAGTAGAATTAAAAGTCACGATGCATGTTGTTTTTATAGTTATCAAAAATACAAAACTGGTGTGCACATCCCAAACACCCAGATTGGACAACAAATTAGCATAACATATGTGGACTTCACGCTTCTTTTATTCGTTTTTATAGTTATCACAATCATATCTTAATGCCAATCATGTTGCCATTCTAATTTTCTTTGTATTTGGATTATTCAGAAATCATCATGGATGAAATTATTAAGGTATGTTTCTTTACACCAAATAGTCCAAAATGACTTGAAAAGAGCTTGTTTATGTTTGTATGTCTTTTAAATTGGTTATACCAAATATGTTATGAATTGGGATTCTTAAAGAAATATTGTACAAAAAACAAAGACTAAACTATAGATGCTTTTAATGAAATGATCTTCTTTTCAGCGTGTGTATGCTGCTGGGATCCGCCGCCAGCCTTATTCTGTACAATCCTCGGGTATGTTCACTCTCACAAACATAACGGTGATGTTCTGTCAGTGAACTGTTTCCTGTAACAGTAAACATCTCCATGTCATATCCTCTTTATGGTCCCATGCGTCTCACCTCTCAGTTTGGTCCCAGTGGCTACACGTGGGCGTCCGTCCATCTGTTCTGTGTTGGTGAGTGTGTATGTATTTGTTATGGGACCCAGAACTATGAGCAACGATCTTAAACTTACAGAGAAAATGTGGAGATATAAAATTGTGTATTTTACCTGTGTGTTTTTTGATCTCGTCTCTTTTCTAATTTAGGTGCATATAAAGTATTTCAGAAAAATACAAAGGCGGAGCCATCTGAGGTGGTTTGCTGTTTTTATGTACACCTCCATTCAAAAGTTTGGGGGTCGGGAAGATTTTTTTCAATGTTTTTAAGTGAAGTCTCTTTTGTTCACCAAGGCTGCATTTATTTGATCAAAAATACAGTAAAAATAGTAATATTGTGAAATATTATTATCATTTAAGACTTGTTTTCTATTGTTATATATTTTAAAATGTAATTCATTCCTGTGAATCAAAGCTGAATTTTCAGCATCATTACTCCAGTCTTCAGTGTCACATGATCCTTCAGAAATCATTCTAATATGCTGATTTGCTGCTCAAGAAACATTTATGATTATTATCAATGATGAAAACAGTTGAGCTGCTTAATATGTTTGTGCAAACCATGATACATATACATTTATTCTCAGGACGCTTATTTAAAATAGAAATCTTTTGCAACATTATACATGACTTTACTGTCACTTTTTGATCAATAAAATGATTGATTTCTGGGAGAAAAAAAACAACTTAGTGACTCCAAACTTTTAGAATGAGAAAGTATGTTGTTATTGCTTATACTGTAAGTAGATGCCTGGTAACATAATAGAATGTTATCTATTAGATATCTCATAATAAGTGTCATTTTTAATTTGTAATATTACAGTGATCTTGAAGAGCAGTTCATCAACTATGTGACCAGGTAAATGGTTACCGTAAATATGAACATAAATGTCATCCTTTATATATATGCACCCCCAGATTTTGACACATGCGTATTTGAATGCTTATATACTGTATATAAATGTACTACTTTTTTACAATTAGTTTTACACTTTTTTTTTTTTTTCAGTGCATTGTTACTTGCCTCACTTGCATACTCAACAGGTAATTATGTATTTTATGCTACCGTATTAGTTTTGTCTAGAGCTCTATATGTTTCTGCCATGATCCATGTGTAATTCATGGTGTCCTGTCTTTCAGGTGACTTGACCGGGGCCTTAGATTTCACTCTCCTGACCTCACACAGGTTCCACACTGGCTGCTTGGGCAGGTAACACACACATACTACATACTAATGCGTTAAAAAGTTGGCATGATTTATTGGATTATTTGTGTACAATAAGGATTTCAACTCCAAAAAGTACAGAATGAGTGATGCATGTCATTTTGTTATAAGAAATTGATTGTATTTGCAAATCTTATGTTAATTAGAAATCAATTTCATTTCATAGCGCTATATTGAGCTTTTGTCTGATGTTGGCAACTGTAAAACTGAAGAACAGTCTGACTCAGGAGCACTGTGGAGTCTGGTGCTTCCTGGCCAAGGTGAAAAGAATTATATTTTCAACCACAATTATTCTTTGTTTAGTGTCTCCAATAAGGCCTGTTAGAGCATGAGACCGGTTTCACACCACATGCATTTGCAGTACTTGCAATAAAAATGTTACAATGGCTTTGTTTTTTGACTGCATGCAGGTACTGGCTTCAGGTCTTTCCCTTTACACATTCAACACTGTGCTGAGTCCAGTGACACTGTGCTGGTGAGTTCATAACAAACGTCTGGGTTATCTATTGAGTTATAGTGTGACTTATAAGTGAAATAAATGTCATACTATATTGTTTGTTTCACTCATTAGCGTCATCCTAAACTACACCGGAGAGGCCTTGTTCGTGTATTCTGACAGATTTCATTAAGTTTGTTGAAGAATATGGACCGTGCCTTTGAAGATTCTCCAAATCAGTCACTCCAAGACTTTATTAATCGACCAAAGCCAGTTGCCTCGATGAGATTATTTCACTATAAGCCTTGCAACACCAAAACTCTTTTTACTGTAATATTCTGTTTACGTCATGGGACATGAGACCATGTCCAAATATTGAAAAAAAAAACTTGCTGTTGTTTACCATATATTGTAATTTCCTACATTTGAATTCCAGTCAACTTATTCAGACTCTATTCTGCTTTTTCCAGATGTACTATTTCAGAAGCAGCGTTTGCTGTTAGTGTTCGACCTTTGCACATCATTGTCCTTCAGTGTTTACTTTTAAGAGTCCTGGATCACATCCTGAATACTGTCCCACCTTAGATCAGTACTGTTTATGAGAATTAAACAAAGATAAAATGTGGTTTTAAAAAGATGTTTTACCATTATCCATAATTATAGCAGGTTGATCAACGGTTATATTTATTATTATGTTATTATATAATATTATTATTATATTATCTGGGGTTTTTTATCTGGGCCTAAATAATAACTCGCAGAAAGAAATAACTCCCAGTTTAAAATGAGTCCTGCAAAAAGTACTGTTATTATTATGTTTGAATGGCATTTACTGTATTTCAGAGCCACTTTGTATAATATTGTATTTCTAAAGCTGACCATGTATTCTATTATGAAATAATTCAGTTTTCTTAGTATTGTAAATCACTTTTTTGCTAAAGTAAATAAAAGAATTCCATAGACCCATTTTCTAAAATGTTTTCTGCTGAAAAATAAAATGAAATGATGTAACAGAATTTGATTTTCAAATATAAGTAATTACACTTGATCTGTACACACTGCTCTTAAAGGGGTCATATAATGGTACATGCACTTTTTCAAGTTGATTGTACTGAAATGTGTGTTGGCAGTGCCTGTACACAACCATCATAAAATGATAAAAATCCATCCAGTGTTTTTGTTTTAATCTCCTTATATGTTTTCCCCTGCCTCAAATCGAGCCGTTCGAGCGTGTGACGTCACACGGTCGGAAGCCCCTCCCACGATTGTTGATTGACAGGAGCGTTTCAACACAGACCCGCCCTCACTTGTGAGCGAGCTGTCAATCATAGTCCGCGCGGACCTGCGCATTGTTGATATGCTGGATTACTGTCTATGAGCAGAATGGCGTCTAAGCGATTGTGGTGTTCTGTTCTTGGGTGTTATAACGAACACAGCAGTCATTTTAATGTTCCTAAATCCGAACCGCTGAAGACGCAGTGGCTGAGTTTGTTTTCGAAGGGAATATTCCCCACGAGCAACGTCAATGCTCTCATGTTTGCGCGAATCATTTCACACACCAGACTGCTTTATAAACGAGGATCAGTATAAAGCTGGATTTGCTAAGAAGCTGCTCATGAAAAAAGGATCGGAACCAGATATTCGTGTTCCTGCTGAACCTCCAGAACAACTGAAGTGAGTTTAACATTTTATTAAACTTTATATTAATATTTATATTAATCTTTGCAAATCGCTAGCTGCACGCTTCACAATGAATGCGTCTAAGGTTTACACTCAGGGTACATTACGGCATGTTTTCTATGTATGATGTTCTCAATATAATTCATAATCCCACGTTTATACTGAACAACGCCTTATGGTTATTTGTGTTACAAACGGTGTACGCACAGAACAGAGAGGCGGGGTGAGCAAAGCTCATGATCATTTAAAGGCATATACACTGAAACGGCGTGCTGAAAACAGAGCTGTTTTTGACCAGGTAAAATAAGTGTTTTCTTACAATACTAATGAGAATTTTTAATTAAAGTATATTACAAACTTTTAATTTAGACCCTAAAGAATCATATTAGCTTGTACAAAAATGGCATTATATGACCCCTTTAACCCTGGGTTATCATTGTTCTAAGCCCCACTTTTAACCCTGGGTAAAGGAACGTTTCAAACTTGTAAGTTAAAAGCGGAGTTAAAGTCCCTGTGAAATCAAAAGTAGCGTTTTTAGGCTTTTAGTAGGATAAAAAATACTTTGGAAGTCAATGGGGTCCATCAACTCTCTGCTCACCAACATTCTTCAAAATATCTTCTTTTGTGTTCAACAGAAGACAGAAACTCAGGTTTAGAACAACTTGAGGTTGAGTAAGAAATTAAAGGGGGAGAACTATCCCTTTAACTATTTCAAGTGTGAAAAGACCTTATTAGGAAACCACGAAGCACATATTAATATCATAGTGCTTTACTTACATCATATAAGGTGCTTGACCTCTGGCTTCTTGAGGTCATTGCTTATTTTGGCAGCGAGTCGGATACAAGCTCCAGTGCGAAGTTTACGATTCTGCTTGTCCAGTTTACCGTGTAGGGCCAGTTTTTCAAAATAGAAATGTTTTTTGATGAAATGAACCCGTCTGCTGCTCCTGGGCCGTACAACACTTGTGCAAGACTTACTGTAAGAGAACAAAGCAGTAAATAATAATTTTACATGGCAGTGCTCACATTTTCAAAACAAAATAGTCTGTTGAAAAGGTAATTTGGGGATTGGGACAGTCCGGGATTGGCCGCGGTCTGGCTGTCTCGCCGAATTGTGCTAGAGGCTCACCTGGATTTACTGCGGTGGCTGCTGGTGGTCGGGCCGGGGCTGGCTATGATCTGGATTTGCTGTCCGGCTGTGTCGGGGCCGGGGGCCGGGGGCCGGGGGCCGGGGGGGGGGGGGGGGGGGGGGGGGGGGGGGGGATTGGGGGGGTGCTGGCTTGGCCTGTCATCGCCGTGTGTTGATTGATAGGAGGCGTAGTGGATTGTCGGCTGCTGAGAGGCATCGTAAGCTGCAATACTTTCAAACAGTGAACCAGTTTTATTTTATTTTTTTGTTCACTTTTATTTATCTATATGTTTGTATATGTCTATTGTTTTGGCAATATTGTGCTATTGTACACATTCATGCCAATAAAGCTAATTTGAATTGAATTGAACCACTCTATTGTGATTTGGTACTTTCCTGCGTCCTGCCCAGGGACTGCAGATGAAATTTAGCTCTGTAGCTAATTCTGGGACAGTTCTTTACTGTCCATTGTCCCTGATAAATAAATAAAAAAATTATTAAAAAAAAATCAAATGTGAAGGGAAAAATAAATTGCTAGACCTTTGATGCTCTTTGGATTCACTGTCCAGAAGAGACGTTTTCACTGCCTAGACTAGAGTGTTGTTCTCCTGAATCCATTTGTGACCTTATGATTGGAGCAGATGCTGAAAGCGTGAATCGGGCATCTATCTCAGTTTGAGCCTCCTTCGAGAGCCTCTGTCTGCGATCCATCTCAGCACTGAGCTGCAGCGGTCGATCGGCACAAAAGCACTCGAGTCATGCATGGCTTTCTTCATAACACATTAACAGTAAGTCAGTGGTGTTCAACTGGTTTTGAGACATTTTTTCTTTGGGTAGCAAGTGGCGACTCAACACAGTACCAGAATTTGATGCTTTTAAATTAAACATTCACATGAATTAATATTTAAACTACATAAGCCTAAAAATATGCACTATTCGGAACATTGTAGAGGCTGAATAGAAAAATTACATAAATGTATAAACAGCAGAAAGGTGATTTATGACCTTCGTTGTCAGTAAAATTATTATTTACTTCATCACTATTAAAAGAATTTATTTAGCTACTGTAACTACGCACAATCTTATATTTAGATGCACTGTAAACAAATGCACTTTAAAAAAAGATTTATTCTGATTTTATTAGTACCGTTTAAAGATTATTTTTTTGTACAAAATACAGTCAAAATCAAACATACAACATGTAAACAATTTACATAGTTCAAAAAATCCTCTAGACAAAATAAGTTTAGTTTATTAATCAAAATCATTTAATAAAATCCAAGGACTCAGTGTAACACACACATATAAAATAAATTAAAATATGCAGCTGTTATTCAGGACATGAGCAGAAGATTCACTCTCAATCAACATTGCACATTTATCCATTTAGTTCCAGTGGGGTTTTTAAATCCCATCTGAAGTCACAACGGGTCGACTCAGTGCTGCTTTTTTTGGGACTTGACTTTCGGCGAGAACATGGCGAGGTACGGTCGTCTCCTGCGTATCCGCACGTCCGGCTGATCGTCCTCTTTGATGTATCCTGTTGAGAGCAAAGCAATGTATGTTACCTAAATGCTTCAATGACAGAGATAAACTGAAAAAATAAACATGTTTTTTTTCTTTTGCAGGAAGTCTATATATTAAAGAGGCTATATTTTAGGTTTTAGTGTCTACTAGAATACGTTTTTGACTTGAATGTTCAAAAAACTATTTTTCACATATTCTCCATTGTTGCAGCTCCTCTCTTCCCAGTCTGTCAGTAATGCTCTGTTTAGTTCCCGTCTCCCTGAAGCCCCTCACGCTGAAAAGCACAATGTGCTCTGATTGGTCGGCTGAACCAGAGTGTTGTGATTGGTCAACAACTTTGAGCGTGTTTTGGAAATGTCCCCCCCCCCCCTTACCATAAGCGCGAGTTTCAACACACAACTAACTCAACCAGTCCTTGCCACCTTTATTTGTGTATGCATTGTGGAGGAATTATTTAAATGAGGAATGAACTCAAGACTACAAGGGAGGTGTTTCAGGGAGTTCAGAAACACTTATTAATATAGAGAACAACTCTCCTTGGAGTGACTTTGTGCTTTTTGTTTGTACTTTTCATGCTCAAACTGCAACATTACACATTAAAGAAAGCTGAAAATGTAAAAAGCATAATTGGTGCTCTTTAAAAGTCTCAGACTCACTGTATATACTGGGAAATAATGCATTTTGTTAAATAGTTCTTAATAGTGCAAGATTTCAAAGTTTCATCCATTTCTTTCTATTTGTCAAAATGACATAATGCAGAACCTCTTTCCACACAGGTCTGTGTCGACGGGAAGCCCACTTCCCAGAAGTTTTCCGGAGTGGAAGGTGGAATGTAGCGGTAGCGATGCCGTGAACAGGAGGACAGTTTTTTCAGCCTCTCTTCCTCTGGAAGGTGTGCATAATACTGGAACAACAGAATGGTATTAATTATAACATTTTTAATTATCGATGCTATGATTATTTAGCAAAAGGAGATAATATAGTTGGTCATATACTGTATAAACTGACTCACAATTTCACACTCTTTACAATAATGGCCTTTTAGTTTTCTCCTTTCGTCTTTCTTACGCACAACTTCCACACGAGCAAAAGACTTATTCCTGGAATAGAAAGCAAAACATGCACAATGTCTATTATTCTAACCATCTATTTTGTTGACAGTAAATCACTGTATTTTAGAACCATATGCATTTAAAGTTCTGTAATCTGAAGTATTTGCATTAAATTAAATACTTTAATACTTTTTCAAACCAGAATTATTATAGTTAACTAAAACCATAAAAAATGTGTTACTTGATATAAAATAGAATAAAAATATTTTATTTCAGCTAGTTGCCAAAGCAACATTTTTCATTTTCATTTTTATACTAAAATTTAATCTGATATACTAAAATAGTTCAAAACTAAATTCTAAAAACTACATAGACAGTTGATTTTAAAATAAAAACATAAAAAATATGTATTAAAAATGACAAAAATGAATAACAATATGTTGATTGTTTATATATATATATAAAGCTTGAATATCTTAATGATACTAAAATACCACTATTTCAAACTATCTGTATAGTGATTTTCACAATATCAATCTTTCCAAAGCAGCTCAACAAGAACCTTTATTACCAATAAAAGCACATTTCTCACCTGTTAGATGTATCCCCGTCAGACGTCACTCGTTTCAGGTCTGCAGGCCGGCGGAATTCCTCTGAACAAACGCAATATGTTTGGTAAAAAGGTTTAAAAGATGAAGGACAAATAAAACAAAGCTACTGAAAATGTGTCTGCTATTTGGACAAGACTGGAAAAACGAAACATTACCTGCTGCCACTTCTTCTTCTTCTTCATCATCATCATCATCATCTTCCCCTCTCTCCTCCTCGAACGTACTGTCTTGTTTTGGAACAGAGCTCTCGTCCTGAGGACAAGACTCATATTCTCCGAACCCTGTCTTATCGAAGATGTCAGCAAGGCTGTCGTTTGCCCTCTGCCCAATCCCTGTTGATCAATCACATGTAGAAGTTGTTTACGGGCGGCTCATAAATGAATCCGAAGCTACAAATCAAATCAGCTGTTTGTTCATATGATACCAGGGGTTTGGGATTGTCCCGTCCTCTTCTGGCCTCTCAGGAGCAGACTGTGACTCACAAATGTGCAGTCAGTGTCCATTGTTTCCAAGTCTGTTCTGAATCTGGCCTAGGGCAATTTGGGGGAAAGTTTCACTAATGCAAACACATTATATAAACAGTAAATGCAAAAGTTTGAAAGATATTTGAAAGTAGTCTCTTCTGCTCACCAAGGCTGCATTTATTTGACCAAAAATACAGTACAAATTGTAATATTGTGAAATATCATTACAATTTAAAGTAACTTTTCTATTGTAATATATTTTAAAATGTAATTTATTCCTGTGATCAAAACTGAATTGTCAGCATCATTACTCCAGTCTTCAGTGTCACATGATCCTTCAGAAATTATTCTAATATGCTGATTTGCTGCTCTAGAAACATTTCTTATTATTATCAATGTTGAAAACAGTTGTGCTGCTTCATATTACGTTGTAAACCGTGATACATTTTGATCAGAATTCTTTGATGAATAGAAAGTTCAATAGAACAGTATTTATTTGAAATAGAAATCTTTTGTAACATCACATAAATGTCTTTACTGTTGCAGTTGATCAATTTAATGCGTCCTTGCTGAATAAACATATTAGGTTAGTAGTGTGGTGTAAATATGGTGGTTGAAAATAAAAATGTTCAGAATGAATTTTCATATATCAGTACCTCTGGTTGAAGAGAACTCTCTGTATCATACTGAGCCAGATCAGCTCCAGGATCCACACTCCAGCTCTGATCTGTCATCAGATTTAAAAAAACATTAGCAAAATGATTCACCCTAAACTACTCAAGATGATGAGTAATCTATTATGACAAGCTGTTCATAATGTTTCTGTATTACCGTATGGGAAATGTGTGTTTTGGTTCTGAAGAGAACTTTTGCGAGGTGTGTGCTGGTCCAAACATTTCCTTCTCTTGGAATCCTACAAAATTAAAATTGTTACATAAAATTCAAAACCGTACACTTTTATGTGAAACTGTTTTGAAATGTGTAAATCCGGTGTGTCTGTATTGCTTCTGTCTGACTGTGTCTAACCGTTGTTTCCTGATTCTTGCTCTCTTTATGACCACTAGCTGGAGTGGAAGCCAGTATCATCCCCTTGATTTCCGTCTCGTCAGGATCATCCAGGCTGGAAACAGAAATCTTCTCTTCTCTTTTCCTGCCATCTGTATGTTTCCTCTTTCCTTTACCTGGCACACACGTGCTGTTATTTGAAGGTGTGTGTGGAAAGTCGTCTGCGGGCGGCTGCTGCTGTTCTCGAGAAACCAACGGACGGCAATGCAAAATGGACGGAGAATCGTCATTCTGGACTGCAGTGATGCTGGAACAGATATATAGAAAACAACAGCTACTATTATGAAGTATTTCAGTTCCAGACAATATTTCTGTCTCACTGGTCATTAGTGAGAGTTAAAATGGTGGTTTGTTTGGATTTAAGAGTGTGTAGTTACATGTTTGCGCAGTCATTTGACTCAGGTTGTTGGCCTCGTTCAGTGTGAAGATCATCATCCTCGTTATCCTCATCAAACTGAAGAGAAACATTGGATGTGTGAACACACACTGCTCTGATCACTGCCAGTGCGGATATATAGAGGTTTTCTGTACATAACTAAGTATTTTCTAGGTCATCTTTAAAATGCACAACTGAAACTAAACCTAAAAAGGCATATTGGGATACAATGGATGACTAAGTCGTATAAGTCAAACTTTAATTAAGATAAGGCAGAACCTGTTCTGGATTGACTTCTATACGGCAGGTCTCGGGAACCACAGTCCTGAAATGTTTCTTGGTATTAGGCTCTAAAATAAAATAAAAACACATTCAATTTATGCTTACAAAGAATATCATTTAAAACGTGAAGATCAGCTCATAATACCTGCCATAGAAGTCACATCCATTTCACATGTCTCAGCGACCAGCACACCATTGCCATTACAGCCGAAGGGCACGGATGGAGCTCCTCGCCTGGGTTCTGTAAAAGAAAAAAAGAAAGAAAGACGTATATATATGTATATTTTAAGAAAAATATATAGCTATTTATTTATATACTATAATTAAAAACCAATACTATCTATATATATACACTACCGGTCAAAGGTTTTAGATCGTTTAATGTTTTTAAAAGAAGTCTCTTCTGCTCACCAAGGCTGCATTTATAAAAAATAAATAAAAAAATAAAAAATTGTAATATTGTAAATATTATGACAATTTAAAATGACTGTTTTCTATTTTAATATATTAATTAAAATGTAATTTATTCCTCTGAAAAAAGCTGAATTTTCTGCATCATTACTCCAGTCTTCAGTGTCACATGATCCTTCAGAAATCATTCTAATATGCTGATTTTATGCTAAAAAAACATTCATTATTATTTTCAGTGTTGAAAACAGTTGTGTAATTTATTTTTTCAATGTTTTTTGATGAATAGAAAGTTCAAAAGAACAGCATTTATTTAAAATAGAATCTTTCCAGCTTTAATCACAGGAATAAATTACACTTTACTATATATTCACAAAGAAAAGAGCTGTTTTAAATTGTAATAATATTTCACAATATTACTGTTTTTTTTTTGCATTTTTAATCAGCCTTAGTGATAAATAAATGCAGCCTTGGTGAGCAGAAGAGACTTCTTTTAAAAACATTCAAAATCTTACCGATCTAAAACTTTTGAATGGTAGTTTATATATAATTATTTTTTAAATTAGAGTATTTTTAAAAACTTGTAACTAAACAAATTTTATATATATATATATATATATATATATAGACATTTTAATATATAGCTATTTATTTATATACTACATTTAAAAACATTTATATATATATTATATATACATAGATATATACACTCACCGGCCACTTTATTAGGTACACCTGTCCAACTGCTCGTTAACACTTAATTTCTAAGCAGCCAATCACATGGCGGCAACTCAGTGCATTTAGGCATGTAGACATGGTCAAGACAATCTCCTGCAGTTCAAACCGAGCATCAGTATGGGCAAGAAAGTTGATTTGAGTGACTTTGAACGTGGCATGATTGTTGGTGCCAGAAGGGCTGGTCTGAGTATTTCAGAAACTGCTAATCTACTGGGATTTTCACGCACAACCATCTCTAGGGTTTACAGAGAATGGTCCGAAAAAGAAAAAACATCCAGTGAGCGGCAGTTCTGTGGGCGGAAATGCCTTGTTGATGCCAGAGGTCAGAGGAGAATGGCCAGACTGGTTCGAGCTGATAGAAGGGCAACAGTGACTGAAATAACCACTCGTTACAACCGAGGTATGCAGCAAAGCATTTGTGAAGCCACAACACGCACAACCTTGAGGCGGATGGGCTACAACAGCAGAAGACTCCACCGGGTACCACTCATCTCCACTACAAATAGGAAAAAGAGGCTACAATTTGCAAGAGCTCACCAAAATTGAACAGTTGAAGACTGGAAAAATGTTGCCTGGTCTGATGAGTCTCGATTTCTGTTGAGACATTCAGATGTTAGAGTCAGAATTTGGCGTAAACAGAATGAGAACATGGAACCATCATGCCTTGTTACCACTGTGCAGGCTGGTGGTGGTGGTGTAATGGTGTGGGGGATGTTTTCCTGGCACACTTTAGGCCCCTTAGTGCCAATTGGGCATCGTTTAAATGCCACGGCCTACCTGAGCATTGTTTCTGACCATGTCCATCCCTTTATGGCCACCATGTACCCATCCTCTGATGGCTACTTCCACCATGTCACAAAGCTCTAATCATTTCAAATTGGTTTCTTGAACATGACAATGAGTTCACTGTACTAAAATGGCCTCCACAGTCACCAGATCTCAACCCAATAGAGCATCTTTGGGATGTGGTGGAACGGGAGATTCGCATCATGGATGTGCAGTCGACAAATCTGCGGCAACTGTGTGATGCCATCATGTCAATATGGACCAAACTCCCTGAGGAATGCTTCCAGCACCTTGTTGAATCTATGCCACGAAGAATTGAGGCAGTTCTGAAGGCAAAAGGGGGTCCAACCCGTTACTAGCATGGGGTACCTAATAAAGTGGCCGGTGAGTGTATATAAAACACAATATACACTCACCGGCCACTTTATTAGGTACACCTGTCCAACTGCTCGTTAACACTTAATTTCTAAGCAGCCAATCACATGGCGGCAACTCAGTGCATTTAGGCATGGAGACATGGTCAAGACAATCTCCTGCAGTTCAAACCGAGCATCAGTATGGGGAAGAAAGTTGATTTGAGTGACTTTGAACGTGGCATGACTGTTGGTGCCAGAAGGGCTGGTCTGAGTATTTCAGAAACTGCTAATCTACTGGGATTTTCACGCACAACCATCTCTAGGGTTTACAGAGAATGGTCCGAAAAAGAAAAAACATCCAGTGAGCGGCAGTTCTGTGGGCGGAAATGCCTTGTTGATGCCAGAGGTCAGAGGAGAATGGCCAGACTGGTTCGAGCTGATAGAAGGGCAACAGTGACTGAAATAACCACTCGTTACAACCGAGGTATGCAGCAAAGCATTTGTGAAGCCACAACACGCACAACCTTGAGGCGGATGGGCTACAACAGCAGAAGACTCCACCGGGTACCACTCATCTCCACTACAAATAGGAAAAAGAGGCTACAATTTGCAAGAGCTCACCAAAATTGAACAGTTGAAGACTGGAAAAATGTTGCCTGGTCTGATGAGTCTCGATTTCTGTTGAGACATTCAGATGTTAGAGTCAGAATTTGGCGTAAACAGAATGAGAACATGGAACCATCATGCCTTGTTACCACTGTGCAGGCTGGTGGTGGTGGTGTAATGGTGTGGGGGATGTTTTCCTGGCACACTTTAGGCCCCTTAGTGCCAATTGGGCATCGTTTAAATGCCACGGCCTACCTGAGCATTGTTTCTGACCATGTCCATCCCTTTATGGCCACCATGTACCCATCCTCTGATGGCTACTTCCACCATGTCACAAAGCTCTAATCATTTCAAATTGGTTTCTTGAACATGACAATGAGTTCACTGTACTAAAATGGCCTCCACAGTCACCAGATCTCAACCCAATAGAGCATCTTTGGGATGTGGTGGAACGGGAGATTCGCATCATGGATGTGCAGCCGACAAATCTGCGGCAACTGTGTGATGCCATCATGTCAATATGGACCAAACTCCCTGAGGAATGCTTCCAGCACCTTGTTGAATCTATGCCACGAAGAATTGAGGCAGTTCTGAAGGCAAAAGGGGGTCCAACCCGTTACTAGCATGGGGTACCTAATAAAGTGGCCGGTGAGTGTATATGTATATTTGTTATTAAAACAGCTGTTAATTAACTAAACATTTATATATAGCTATTTATATATATTGAATACACACACACACACACACACACACACATATATATATATATATATTAAAATATATAGCTATTTATTTACATACTATACTTAAAAAACAATAACTATCTATAGAATTATTAAAATAGCTGTTAAATAGCTCAATTAACATATATTAAATAAACATACACACACATACAGTACATATACACCTGTATATTTAAAGAAAAGTTAATTTATATCTATTTACTTATATACTATATTTAAACATATATATACATGTGTCTGTGCGTAAAACAAATCTCATTGTTTCTTTATACTCTCAAAACTTTTTGTCTTTAAAAAAGCAATTATGGGAGTTAAGGTCAGAGGTGATCACCCAACACAACACATCCTGAATCAAAAAATGAGCCTTTTTCCCTCATTTTAAATCTCTAACCGGGGTGTGAGAGTGATAATGGTGTCTCGGCGTAGCGGACGTGGTTCTGTTCTTTCCGTCGTTTCATCTTGCTGGCGACAGGTAAAGACAGCGGACGACGAGGAGAATCTGGGATCATCCCCTCCTCGGCCTCAGAAAACACATTCTGCGGAGAACTAAACACACACACATAAAGAAGACATCAGACGCTCATGTGATGCACTTTATCAGTATTCATGTCATGTTTCATTTGACTCTGAGACTCACCCAGACTTTCTAAGTCGCTCTAGCTCAAGACTCAGTCTCCTGTTTTCATCTTTCAGAGTCTTCCTCTCTGCCTCTAAACTCAGCAATACACACATTATAGCAGATTTTTGGGTTGATACTAATCGACTGATACATAATAGATATATATATATATATTTAGTCACAATATGATGATGCATAATAATAATAATAATAATAATACAACGGAAAACAAAAATCCTTACCTAGCTCAGATATGACAGACAGATTTTTCTGATTAGCATCAATAAACTCAGTGTTTGTTTTTATAATCTGCTTCTCAATCACAGCACAACGATCACATGGTCCAGAACACACCCTAAACCCAGACACAAAGAAAACGGCAACTTAAACTTTCAGATAAGATAAAAAAAAAAAACATAAACCTCATAAATATGTTGCTAAAGAGGTAAAAATGTGCTTTTCAGAGCACCTGTCCTCTAACTGTGTGATCTTCTCCTGCAGGATCTTCTGTTGCTCTCGTAACTGCTGGTTCTTGCTGTGAAATTCACTCAGTCTCTGAGCATCTCTGAGTGGGAAGCCGTATTATTACAGTTAGAGATCATTATTTGACATTTATTACAGAATTATTACACCAGAAGAAAGTCTCTAAAAGTCCTTCAAAATGTTAATGATCTAGTAGTCATTAAATCAAAGTGATTTAAAAAAATCTTCATGCAGCTTTGAGCAATGATATGTTCTTATACAGTATAAGCCTTAGACTTACAGACAGCGCTCTTTTTTCAGTTTGGTTATTTTTGCCTGTAATTCTGAAAATGAGAAAAGTTATCAGTGCAAAAGCATCTCATATTGTTAAACTTTTAATAAAACATTATATTAAATAAACTGATTTCAATTCATAGGGCCTTCAATGTACATTATGAACTAGTATTTACAGTCATTTTTCGAATCAAATGCATTAATAGAGTAGAATTTGAATTTCGGAAGTTCCTGAAATGTTTCCTGAAGTTTTTTAATGGAAGCCCATTTCAACCACATACTGTAAGAAAGAAAAAAAAGTCATGCTTTGGTAAATCTTATTTATGACATAAAAGTTTTTTTTAAAAAAGAGTCATGACAGAAAAAGTCAAAATCATAAATCATAACTATGACTAAATCTACTAAATCAAATTTATGCGATAAATCAAAATTATGACTAATTGAAATTATGATGTAACGTCCAAATTATGACATATTAAGTCACAATGACATACATAGTTAATAAGAAATCGTAATTATGAGGTAAAATCTTGAAATTATGACTTTCTGTGTCAGTTACGACTATTTAATTCAGAATTATGACGTATTTTAAGTAATAATTATGATTCCCCAAAGCATGATTTCTTCCCCCTGTATGTGCAAGAAATAGTAGATTTTAAATGGTACAGACAGAGAAAGGCTTGTCCTGTAACGTTACCGTGCAGTGCAGCGTCATGGAGCTCCTTCACGGAAAGCAGCAGATCCTGGAGTTTCTCTCTGGATTCTGCAGGAGTGCTGGAAGCAGGACTGTGTCCAGTCTGTCCACTGAGATCTGAAGTACTCATCCTCAAACAGTCCATCTATCTATCTATCTATCAGACCCCTTCAGTCGGATCAGTTTCACCAACATACACAAGTGACAACTCAAGTATTGAGACAAAAACATAAAGTTGGACCTCGCTATATCTCGCTCACATTTCAAACAGCTGAGAGACTAATATATTCCTTTAGGTTGTTTCCAGAACGACATCATGCGCTACATGTATTTGCCTATAAGAACAGAACAAGGCACGTATATTAAAAATAGAATAGCGCATCGCAGAGCTCGTGAAATTTCTGTTCCATTATGTAAATATTCGGATTCCGCGCCTTCGCGGTGGATTCTGGGAGTTCAGCAGCGGCTCGTCAGAAGGGCTTTAATACCAGCTAGTGGCCACTCTGAAAACTGCATTAAGAGTGCACTATCTATCTATCTATCTATCTATCTATCTATCTATCTATCTATCTATCTATCTATCTATCTATCTATCTATCTATCTATCTATCTATCTATCTATCTATCTATCTATCTATCTATCTATCTATCTATCTATCTATCTATCTATCTATCTATCTATCTATCTATCAGCAGAAGCAATGGCCTATATACTGTCATGATAATCATATAATACATATAAATAAACAAACAAAAGACAAATACACTGGACAGACACAGTACCGGTCAAAGGTTAGGAAACATTATTATTATTATTTTTTATGTTTTTTTAAAGAAGTCTTTTCTGCTCATCAAGGCTGCATTTATTTGATCAAAAATACAGAAAAAAATTTTTCTATTTTGAAATATTATTACAATTTAAAATAATGGTTTTCTATTTGAATATACATTAAAATATAATTAATTCCTGTGATCAAAGCTGAATTTTCAGCATCATTACTCCAGTCTTCAGTGTCACGTGATCCTTCAGAAATCATTCTGAAGAAAATTCAGCTTTGATCACAGGATTCAATTATATTTTAAAGTATATTAAAATATAAAAGCGTTGTTTCAAACTGTAAGAATATTCCACAATATTATTGTTTTTTCCTGTATTTTTTCATGAGCATAAGAGACTTCCTTCAAAAACATAAAAAATAGTAGTTGTTCTACTCTAGTCCTGTAGGTGTCGCTCAATCACACGCAAACGCAGCAGATCCGCCGAAGAAGACTCAGCACCGGAAGTGAGGCTAAACTTTGCTCCACACAGCGGAAAACAGCTGTTGTTTAGTAACAGGGAAAGATAGGTAAGTTCTGTACTCTACTTTATTACTGCTGTTTCTTTTTCTACTTATCATAATAGTTATATTTAAGTCTTATGTACTTGTTTTTAATATATAATCGACAGTAGTGAATGTCGTTGGCTTTATAAGGAGGCAGCTAACGGATTAGCCAGCTCTGCTAACTTTCTTCTCTACGTCAGACTGATGAGACACTTGAATCTCTATTTAACTCCAAAAATGTGATTCATTTATTTAAATCATTTATACACTCTTCAGATCATAATAGCATGTTGTTATACACTAGGAATGGGAATAAATGACTCATATTCAGTTCATACTTATCATCTTTGGAGAAACATAGACTCAGTCTGAGCTGTTGACATGTCGATTTGTTTAAATTAAGATTATATGATTAATTTCGCGTAACTTTAATACATTGTGGATAGAGATTATAGTTTTATTGTTGATGCTGATTGTAAGAGGTTTTATTGTGAGTTTAATCAGTGAATTGTCAGCTCTTGTCTCCGCTGTCACTTGTGAAATCATTTCTGTTGGATGACAGCTGATCGTCTACTGTTATTATTAGTACTATATTAATCGTATTTTGACGAGTTTAATTGTTCATTTGTCATTATTTTTTTTATGTCTGGTTTTTATGTCCTTCTGCATTATTTTTTATATTGACAAACAATAGTAAACAACTTCATGCATACATCATTGTAGGAATTATTTGTTTTATAGTTGCATATAACTTGCTTTGTTGTTTCTCCTTAGGATGCCTGGGCAGAAAAGAAAGATGTCTTCTTCTGAACCTGATGTAAAGAAGACAAAGATGGATCAGAGTCTCGTGGAGTCAGATAAATCTCAGATGCCCAAGAAGTCTTTGAGAGGAAGACCCAAAAAAAATAAAGGGTTGGAAATTCAGTCGAACCATCAGACACAATCGAGGGAAGAAAACGGAAAACCTGTTCGGCGGTCCTCTCGCTTGAAAACACCACAAAAGAAGGGAGCGAGAGGAAGACGACGGAAAGATGGGGTGAAGCCGAAAGTCTCCGGAGATAAACCCTCTCAGAATATGTCTCTCCTGAAAAAAGGAGACAAGAAATATGTTCCAAGAGTAAAGAAAGAAAAGCCCTCCATCTCCGAAACGATCAAAACAGTAGCAGCCTTGTTCCCTGTGCAAATAGAGCACAATTATGGGCGATTGCTTGACTTCCAAAATGAGGAGATCACGCTACCCAAACCTGACAAAATCCACGTGGCCAATATAATTGATCTGGAATCGATTCACGACCCGCGAGCAAGCAAAGTAGAAGAGCATAAAGAGCTGCCAAAAGACTCTATTGAGCAAATTACAGTCAGTGTGGATGCAAAAGTGGATGTGATGAGCAAATCCCCCCCACCTCTAGAGGCTCTTTTCAAAGTCATCCAAGAAACCAGCATCACTAAACACTCGTACGCTGGTAAAGACATTTCTGACATGGATGAGTTAGAGGTGGTGAACACGTGTTCCCTGCAGGACAATGTACAAAGTGCCGACATGGCGAAAGTGTTTCTCCCAGATTCAGAAGCATTTCTGGATGATGACATTGAGATTGAACATTGCGTTGTAGAGATCGAAACCTATGAGGATTTGGATGACATCAGTCAGCAGTCATCTCAAAGCTCTGAGGAAGAAACGGCGAAAAAGCAAACGAGCGAAGCTGTGAGGTGTAACGTCACCTCTTCGCCCTCTTTGCCCCAGGAAAGTGTGACGGACTCCTCGCAAGGGGTTCAGAAAAAGCAAGCAATGAACCCTCAGGCTCGGACGAAGGCACGCCTTGCAGCTTTGGCCGAGGAAAGGGCGGCTGCCGCCAAGAAACCCCCACCGCGACAGCTTAACCTCCTGGCTCTCTGTGAGGAAATCGCAGATGATATCGCCTCCGATGCTCCGGGAGCTTCAGATGAGAAAGATATTGAGGAACAAAAAGAGGAGAGTGAATCTATGGAGGTAAGCGAAACGGAGGAAATGGCTTCTGACAACACCGTTCCCGCCGAAACCCCCAACGAGGAGTCCGCTGATCCCATGCCCGAGGATAGCACGCCCAAGAAACGTTTTTTCCTCAGCCAGGTGTGTCTTCCGCTTAAGACCCAGGAGAAGAAGAAGCTGTCCCGTTATCAGAGGCTCAGGCAGGTGGAGCTTCAGCGGGATAAGTTGACCTGGACCCGTGTTAAGAAGCTGAAGTCGGATCAAGCGAGTCAGGCTGCTTCTCCCATAAAGGACGACGCTCCATCGATCTCGCCCAGCCCGGCCACCACCCCTGCACAGGTTCCTGTGCCAGAAAGCGTGCCAAAAGTGGGCTCGATTGAACCCAGACGAGCACTTCCAGCTCAGGCACCGCCCATGCCTAATGGAATCACCAGCCCGAAACCCAATCCAGTGATGGAGTACAAACCCTACACTCCCAGACGCAAGTATTCACCAGATGACTTTGAACTTGACGGTCTTGAAGATGAGACGACCAAACCAGCTGCCAAAAATGAGGTAAAAAACTCTTGAAATTCATACTTTAGCAAGGATTTATTAATTCAGTGGTTCCCAAACATTTTTCCTCTGTAGAGAAATATATTTTCAAGTCCCCTACCTACATGCACCCACATAAAGACACTCTCTGACATGAGCTTGCTTGCAAAATCCTATAGGATTTATTTGAAACATTGTAATTAATACAGTACTACAACTTTTCAACTTCAATGGGTTTCTCTTTGTGTTCATGATGTGGCGTCTTAGCTTGTTTGGCTTCATACTGTCAGAAGTTCATAATTTGAGGCACGCTGTGGTCTCTCTTCCTTACCCACCGTTGTACTGGTGAATCCGAGAGTGAAATATGCCTCATTATATTTTCTTGTCTTGAGGCTGTCTATACTGGACGTAACAAAGCGAACGCAAGAAATCCATTTGTCGTATGTGTCAGAAGTTGAGTGAGCGCTTGCAGTGCATCAGAAAATAAAACGGGGCATCAGTTTATTGTCGAAAATTAGACATGTCGTCCAATCCACATCCAGTATAAACACCATCACTGATTATAATGGGTTCTATTTGTTTTTGTCACGTCGTGCGGTTCGCGTCTGGTGTAAACCCATTGTTTTGGTAGTTTAAAGTAGATTCATCGTCTGCTTTGTTTACTTGGCACTGGCAAACCTTTCACGAATCTGTCCATGCTTAGAGCCAGAACCATGCGGCTTTCATTTATATTTTTACATGGCTCAACTCTGATTCTTCAATCGTGCCATCTAGCGGTCTGTTACTCCCAGACAACAACCGCTACAACTGATAACACTGCTTAAGTGGGTACTGCGAGTCATATTGAGGTAATAAAATGTCAAACTAATATTTTATGTATAAATATTTACTTGTGTGCCAAGTAGCGGCATAATAAGCGGGATTATTTTGTAGCAGGGTCTTGTATCACCCTGGAGAGGTTTATTTTTAATATAACAATCTGCTGACTGTACACTATCCTTTAGCCTTGACATGCCCCCCTTTTTATATCTCTGGGCCCCCCTAGGGGTCGCACCACTGCAGTTTGGGAACCACTGCATTAATTTGATCCAAAGCAAAGACATTTATAATGTTATAAAAGATTTATATTTCAATTAAATGCTGTTCTTTTGAACTTTGTTCATTAAAGTATCCTGAATAAAATGCATCACAGTTTCCACAAATATGTATAATAATAAAAAATGTTTCTTGAGCAGCAAATCAGCATATTAGAATGATTTCTGAAGGATCATGTGACTGAAGACTGGAGTAATGATGCTGAATTTTTTTTTTTTTTTACATTACATTTGAAGAAATGTCTTCATGCTATCAATCTAAATAAACAATACAGTTCTCACAGGTCAAACCAGAGCAGTCCTCTTCATCAGCTCCAGTGCAGCCCAAACCACCAGTGGAGAAGAAGCCATGTACGCCCACTCCTGCAGGTAGACATTGTGTTGATTTGTTTGATTTTGAGTTCATGACTTCTGTCCATCTTGGACACGCAATGCTAGTTTCATGATAGGTGTTTGTGGAGCTTATCATACCCAAATAATGTATCAAGTTTGCTAAACTAATTCTCTTTGACAGCATGTTTGATAATACAGAATTTTTTATGAACTATCTTGTGGTCCACAGATAGTAAGCCGAAACCCTCTCCCCAGCAAGAACCTGTCCAAGACACGCAATCAGAAAACAGCAACAGGTAATTCATTGTTGAAAGATTTGAAAACTAAAACTTGCTTTCAGGTCTGTAAAAAAGGCAGAATATCTGTCTTCTGCTCCGTGAAAATGCTTTTTCCTATCTTAGTTTAATAGGCAACTACAAGTAAGCTGTGCTTTTATTTCCCTGAAAAATGTAAACGCTATGTATCAGAGTATTGCTCTGTTTATTGTGAGCAACATTGACACAACCAATGCCATGAGTTTGAAGTGGGGCTGTCTTTTTGTTCAACAAATAAGAAGTGTTTAGGAGAAAGTCATTATTTTTGCAATTCCATTTGGTGATGCTAGTTGAGCAGAAATTACACAGCTTATAATGTGTTGTTGGAATGATAATCTCAAAGGAATCCGTGTCATCATTGCAGTAATGTCTATTCAAAGTCTATTAATAATTTTAGAAAACAAACTTAAAGCATGTCTTAACTTTTTGGTGTCATTTTAGGGCAAATTCTGGTGATGAACCTGAAGCAGAACAGAAGAAAGAAATCAGAGACAGTCCCAAACCTGCAAATACAGCAACACAGTCCAGCAATGTAATTCAGTTATATCCTAATGAACTTTGTTTGGTTATTAATTAATCTTAGTTTCATTTAACTTCTTTAACTCTCTTTAACTTATGGATTGTGTGTTAAATATACAATTGCGATTTTACAACCTTGAAATTGTTTTGAAATTAACAATTAAACCAAGAGAAGAATACATCATGCCCATCATTATAGTATACATCGGAGCATTGGTGCTCATTAGCATTTTGTGAAGGCTGTTTTTGTGCTTTGCAGGATGCTGGTCAGAAGGCTTTTGGTGCGGTGACGTGTAATGTGTGTGGGATGCTGTACTCCCCTTCGAGCCCAGAGGACGAATCCCAACACCTCCTCTTCCACAACCAGTTCATCAGTGCTGTCAAATACGTGGTGAGACACATATTTGTTATTACGTGATTCAGAGTTATTGACATATAGATGCTGTTTCAGTCAGATTCATTAAAGCAGTAATCAAAGTCTTGAGTGACTTATTGCTTTAATAATCTTATAAGATCCAATGTTTAAAATAAGACCATATATAACGAAATAAACAATTCTTTCCTATGTAACATATTTCCAATGTAGCTTTTATTTTATGGTGGGAATTATACAGTCTCAAAATAACTACATACCCATGTCTCAAAATCATTACTGTAATATGTGGTCCAGGGCTGGAAGAAAGAGAGAATCCTGGGAGAGTATCCTGATGGCAAGATTATTCTTGTTCTCCCTGAGGATCCGAAGTACGCATTGAAAAAGGTACTTGTTTCTTCCTCATATATTTCCATTAACTAGCTCTCAAACTGTCTGCTGTAGCCGTACTGCATGTTTAGAAGATTTCTAATTGTTCCCCTGATACATATTATGTCTGTTTATGAGATTTGTCTTGTTTGATTTAAGGTTGAAGAGATCAGAGAAATGGTGGACAATGACTTGGGCTTCCAGCAAGTGGAGACCCAGGTCCCATCACAGACCAAAACCTTTCTCTTCATTTCAAATGATAAGAAAGTCGCAGGCTGTCTTATTGCAGAGCACATCCAAGAGGTCAGCTGAACATACAGGTGTTTAATAGCATGTTTATAGGTGTATATCTGCATCTGTGTTTTTACTGTGGGTTAAAAAAAAACAACTAATTATACAAAATCCCCAAATTCTTTGTTAATAATGGTTTAACTTTTATTAATAACATTAAGAAACATTATTCCTTTATAATATGCAATACTCAAAACATAATTAGTTCTAGCTAACTAGTTTATATGAAATGTCATTTAACATTCTCATTTACAAGATATAGAAATCGCTATGTATAAATTAGTCAATATTTGAATAAATTGACCTGCATATGTTTTTTGCATTATATATCATCTAATTATAGAATTAATCTATTCCCTCATAATTTAAAGTTCTACATATTCACCACCTCTTGCATTAAATCTTGTTTGAAGAAACCAATATTTGTAGAAACCAATAATACAGTACTCTAAGCTCATTTAAAAAATTTTTTTACTTAATTTGATTTTTACAATATTTAAATCAGAATTCCTCTGGCTTCAATTAACTCAGAAAATGTGAAAAGCGTGTGTATCCATGTGGGCCTATTAAAACGAATTGAAGTCTTTGTAAGTGCTGCTTCTTTGTGTAATGTTTATCTTAGTCTTCTTCATCTTAGTCATTGTGTCTGATTGTATTCTGCTGTATGCTGCCCTGTCTACATAACTCTCCTTTACTGTACTTTTACTCTCATCTACCTACTGTTGTTTTGTTTGTTATCATTGTCCATTGCCATTATTGTTGCTTGTTCATTGTAAAGCGTCCTTGAGCCCTGGAAAGGTGCTATATAAATGAAACGTATTATTATTATTATAGTCTATTCTACATCTGATGGGTTTGTTTTGGCTGCTGTGTGCAGGGATACAGGGTTATAGAGGAGACCGTTCCGGAAGGTTCAGAAGGAGAGAAGGTCATGTACGAGCGTCAGAGAGCCTGGTGCTGCTCTACCGTACCTGAGCCGGCACTCTGTGGCATCAGTCGCATTTGGGTGTTCAGCATGATGAGACGGAGAGGCATCGCCTCACGGATGATCGAGTGCCTCAGGTAAATCGTTGGATGGGTGCATATGAGTAATTGTAACCACTGTTAAAATGTTGTTGCACATAAATGTGGGTAGTTACACTTTTAAAATGTAAAATGCATCAAAAGTTACTCATTTCTTATTCACAACTTATTTTATCTGTATTAATTAATTTTACTGTCCAAAATCTGTAAACAAATTTGAATGTTTTATGAAAAAATATAAAGCAGTACAATATGTATTACAATGCACTATGAATCCATTGTTATGCATTTAGATACCTACATTAAAATACCTTACATTACACAATATTCAAAAGTAATATTTTTTTTAATTATTTTATTCAACAAGAATACATTAAATTGATCAAAGGCGTCAGTAAAGACATTTATAATGTCACAAAAGATTTAAAGGTTTTTTTTAAATGTTCTTTCAATCTTCTATACATCTGTAAAATCCTAAAAAAAAAAGAGGAAGAGAGAAAATATTAAGCTGCACAACTGTTTTCAACATTGATTGTTTTCATCAAATCAGCTTATTAGAGTGATTTCTGAAGGATCATGTGACACCGAAGACTGGAGTAATGATGCTGAAAATTGCATTTTAAAACGTATATAAATTGGAAAACAGTTATTTCAAATTGTAATAATATTTCACAACATTAGGTCTTTTTGATCAAATAAATGCAGCCTTTTTTAGCATAAGAGACTTTTTTCAAAAATCTTACTGACCTAAAACCTTTGAATGGTAGTGTGCTTTCTACAGATTTCAAGTTGTGTTAAAGTGTTTTCTGGGATATTAAAGGAAACAAAATAATGCATTCTTACAGTTCAGACCCAAATAAATGTTCATTCATCTTCTTTTTCTCCAGGAATAATTTCATCTATGGGTCTCATCTAAGTAAAGATGAAATCGCCTTTTCCGATCCCACGCCTGACGGCAAACTCTTCGCAACACATTACTGTGGAACCACTCAGTTTTTGGTCTACAACTTTGTAAGCAGCAATCGCTCAACCTGACAGGATGAGGACAAAGCAACAGAGCTCAGTTTTAACTGGACTTAAAAGACTTTATTTCACTATACCAAACAGTGCAAAAATGAGGGAACACTATGGTGAGAGACAGAAACAGACTTTTGTTGAGAGTCTTGGTTTATATTGGCAAAAATTGGCCTAGTCTCCTCACAGGAGGTGTAGGGTGTAATGTTAGACACTGATATCTAACCCTCACGGCCAGGTGACGTATTTTAATAAGTCTGCACAGTAGCTTATACCTGATGAATTGTTTAATGAAAGACATCTAAACCGTTCTCTCAGGTTTAGGTTGCAGCCTATCTTAGGACTCACCGTTTAGTGAAGCCATGTAGTCCAGTGCACAATTGCAAAATCAGTTTAAGTACTTCTTCCTAGAACAGTAAGGAAGACGTGTGAACTTTTCTACTGTAAGCAATGCCTCGGTCATGAGGCGACGATTTTTGAATCTCAGGTTGAAAAACATCATGAATTTGTCATCGAAATCTCCCTTGAACCCTTACATCATGTCAGCTATTTTTAAAGAGAGCATATTTTCCTGATACAATGTGTTCCATGTGCATTTTAAAGAGGTTTACATGCATGGCATTGACATCGATAGATGGCAGATGATTGCATAGAAGTCGCTGGTTTTGCACAAACACTGTGCAGAATGAATTTGATTCATTTGTTTCTAAAACACAAGTGTAATAATTCAGAATGTTTGCCCGATCATAGTATTCCATCTCATTTTAATATTTTTAGAATGATTTTATGTATGTATATGTATTTTGATTGAATTATATTAATTTACCCCTGGAAATGACTACAGATGGATTTCTTTTAACATCATAATTTTGCTATCTACATTTATACATTTTAGAAGCCTCATAAAATTATCAGGACATCTCATATATAAAGGATTGACCTAATTTATAAATTGGGATATTTGCTCATTTTTTACAAACAGTGAAGAAGAACAGTTTACATTAGTTAGTCATACAAGTTACTTTTAACTTTATAGTAAGAAACAAATAAAAAGTCAACTGCAAAAGAGATCCCATTAAAATGGGCTGAATTTCTATTTATTTATTTTTATTTGAAAAGTGGAATTACCTATATGTTGTTTTTATCATTAACATAATGCATGAAGCCTCAACTGTGCTGAAGAACCAGGTACAACATTTTGTGTCAAGTTTTTATTTATTTTTCCTAGCTTTGTAATGTGATAGGGACTCTTATTATGAAGTATTGCACTTCCGGTGGGAGTTAAAGGAGTCTACACGTTGTTGTGTACATGAGAAAACGTATTCTACTTTCAACGGGCTTTAGTGTTTTAAGCTTTATTATTATAAACTCTAGGTACAACAGGTGTAGTAATATAAGTAGTTACATATGAGGGACAGTGTGCCATCTGTCTCTTAAAGGCTGTCTGTAACTGTGAACACGTGTTTTATAGTCATGGGGGATCGTGTCGAGTTAGTCGCTGGCTGTTATGAACAGATAGCATTTGGATATCGAGTGTGCACTGGTGACGAGGTAATTATCATTTTTCATAACTTTTATTTCTTTAATTGCTATAATCTTCATTAGTCTTGATAGTAAAGATGCAATTTTGCCGGGGTTTATTTCCGTCTGCGTTTGTTTTTTCTTGAGTGCAATCATTTTTATATTGGTCCATATTTCAACTGCAATAATTTTAATAACAGGCCTATTATGGTTATAATAGCTCACTCCAATTATAATAATAGTTCTGACTTCATTTCAGAATTCAGATATGATATTAGTTACGTTCTGCATGTCTGTTTTAGGAGTGGACAATTGAGCCCAACTTTAGCCATCATGCACACACAGCATCACTGACTGCAGTTTCATCCAGTGATCGATTCATCGCCACAGGAAGCAAAGATGAAACCATTCAGCTGTATGACATGAGCAAGAAAACTGAACATGGGGCTTTGTTGCACCATGATGGTAAGGACATCTATTTTGGTTTCTAATTGGACAAGACAGTCTGGCATCAATGTTTCATGTGATGCATACAAATTGTAATCTCACCTTCTCGACAGGTACCATCTCGTGTCTGGAGTTCTACGGGACGTCCCATTTGCTCAGTGGAGGACAAGACGGTCTTATCTGTGTGTGGAGCACCCAAAAATGGGAATGTTTAAAATCTATCAGAGCTCACAAGTAAGTAACGTGAACACACAAAATATGCTACCATTCAAAAGTTTGGGGTAAGGTTTTTTTTATTTATTTTTTATAATAAAAATACTTTTATTCAGCAAGGTTCCATTAAATGGATCAAAAGTGACAGTAACGACATTAATGTTACAATGGATTTCAGTTTCAAATAAATCCTGTACTTTTGAACTTTTCAATATTGATAATAATCAAAATTGAGCAACAAATCAGCATATTAGAATGATTTCTGAGTGATCATGTGACACTGAAGACTGGAGTAATGATGCTAAAAGTTCATCACAGGAATAAATTACATTTTAAAATCTATTACAATAGAAAACACTTATTTTAAATTGTAATAATATTTCACAATATTGCTGTTTTTACTGTTTATGATCAAATAAATGCAGCCTTAATGAGCAGAACAGACTTCTTTCAAAAATATTTTAAATCTCGCCGACCCCAAACTTTTATTCATGTATAAATGACGTAACCTGGGTTTTATTTCTTAGGGGTCATGTTACTTCACTGTCCGTACATCCTTCTGGAAAACTTGCGCTCTCTGTTGGAACAGACAAGACTCTGAGGCATGTACACAGATGTTTTTATTCCAACATGAATATCAAAAATATTTGAGATTAAGCTGTGTATGTTTTAATTCATATTTGTGTTTTGATTGCTAATAGATATCGTTGGGCTTGATTTGTTTACGTTAGTCAGCTAAAAAAGTAATTGTTATGACAAAATTTAATTGCAGAACCTGGAATCTCATAGAAGGACGTTCAGCTTTCATCAAGAATATCAAACAGAGTAAGTTCTAATATAATGTTTTTGATTCTGTATTTGTATAATTTTTTAATTATTTGTTTTTATAAAAATTATTGTAATGTGTTTAGAAACTTAAACTTTTCAGCCAAATCAAAAACTTTAATGATAATAAAAACAATTTAATTTAATGTGTGTAATGATGTTTTGTAGCTGCAGAGATCGTCTTGTGGTCACCAGACGGAGATCAATATGCAGTGGTTATGAATAACAGAGTGGACATTTACAATGTGAAGTCTGCCACAATTATTGGAACCATTGCATTCCCAAAAAGGATTTCATGTCTGAAGTTTCTGAAGGTGAGCAGTCTTACCAGTGTTGCAAGGGAATTAAAGGGATAGTTTACTTTGAAATTAATTTTTGATATGTTTTAGCTTACCTCAAGGGCATCCAAGATGTAGGTGTCTTTGTTTCCGCAGAAGTTTCAATTTTGATATTTTTAGGTCAAACCGTTCTTGTCTGTCAGTCATATAATGCAGGTCTATGGTCACCACCTCAAAGAGCATGCACAGAGAAGTCCAAATTAAACATGATTTAATGACTCGTAAATGTAAGTACACATTGATGGCCTAAGACACGAAACGAGCGGTTTGTGTGAGAAAACGAACAGTATTTATATCGTTTTTACCTCTTGTAAACACATCCACGTCGAAGTGATCTGAGGGCGCGGGCGCTTCGGTCTCGTGCAGGAAGTGAGAGTGGAATTACTGACGACTCGTTTCAGGCAGTTCAGAATTGATTCTTTCTTTTGAGAGGCAATAGCTTAATTTATCTGCACTTTGAGCTTTGAAACTTTGCAGTCCTTTTACATTCACAAACAGTCATATCACACACCTCATGAAAGGTATTATCCGAAAAAGCATAATAGGGGCAGGCACTTTAACTTAGTTTTTATTCTCCTGAAGTTTTGCTGCCCTGGTTTGTCATATGTAACCTGCTCAATTGATTATACTGTATTAAAGTCTTATTCCAGTCTCTGTTCTCTGTCTCTTCAAGAACACACTCTTGGCTGTGGGAGGAGATGATGAGAGTGTGTGTATATATGACGTGACCTCACAGAAGTGTGTGTTTGAGTTCAAAGCACATGAGAACAGGTATGACCACTTCATTATGGGTGCATCCCAATCTCACAGAATTAACCCAATTTCTTGGGCTGTTTTATCATCAGTATTGTTATAGTGCATTGAAATTCCCAGAATGCAGTGAGCATCGGCATTTTATAAATGTAATGTTTGTTTTTTCCCCAGAGTAAAAGCCATTGAGAGCTTCATGAAGAATGATTTTTGTGTCCTTGTTACGGCGTCAAACGATGGATTCATTAAGTTGTGGAAACTCAATCTTGAGGTATTTTGCTTGACCTGTAAGAGTGGAAACGCATTGAGTTGAACCATTTTAAGCATAAAAACATTTGGCCTGGAGGTTTTATTTTGATTTTATTGATTTATCTGATTGATTGATTGATTGATTGATATAACCTTATTATCCACCAATGTGGTTTATTTTTTTTGCTTCTCATAAAAAAGTGATGTAAAGTAAGACAGACAATAATACAACAAATTAAAAACAACCACCCAATAAAAGTAATCATTCTCACAAAAGATCCTTACCCTTACATATTTCCATTCAAAGTTGTCTGTCACTGGTATAAAAGAGTGTTTGAAACATTTTTAAGAACTTAGTCCATAACAGGCTGTAATATTAAACACTAAAATACTTTCAGCATATCTTTTATATACATTTCCAAAACTGATTGAAACACAAACTTTGAGTTCTTCTTAAAAATAGTCTACTTTCTCACCAAAACTCAACCTTGTATCCAAATATGTTCCTAAATATTTTAAATTGAAAGCCTGATCATTTAATTTCTTAATACATTCACTAGAATTATCATTATTGTACAATCCTTTGATTGATCCATTGATTTGCAAAGCGCTCAATTTACTTGAATTAGTATTTTATACTCCCTCTTTCCTATACAGAAACTTGAGACTGCTTCCTTGCTTGGCCAGGTGAACACCACTGCCAGACTCACCTGTCTTTCCGTTTGGATACCTGGTGAAGCGAAAGAAACAACTGTGGAGCAGTCGGCCCAGCCTGCAACTTCTAAAAGTGCGGTCACATTTGCTGTTGTTATACAAATTTCATTTCAATAGGAATTTGTGGGAGAGAGTTAAAGGCACAGACTTTGCAATGCGTTCAAGTTGGTCACGAGAATTCGGGCACTCAAATTTGGTAAACGGAAGCTCAAGCATGTTCGCTTGACGTGTAAGAACCAATGAGGTTCATTCTCGTGTTACGCAGCACGTTTGAGCTTCAGTAAGAACCAATGAGGTTTGTTCTTCCGTGTCGAACAATTACGGTTGAGTTTCCATTGACCATATTTGAGTCCTTTATACATGTTTGCTGATCAATGTTTATATGTGAATAAAAGCATAAATTAAATCTGTTTATCATATAAAGCGATCGAGTCTCATCAGAAGACTTAGATTAAACTGCTTGATTCAAATGGATTCGTTTTATGATCTCTTATGAATATTTTGAGCCTTCAGAGTTTTGGGTGAATATACATTCAGTGGAGAGTTATCTTCATTAAAATATCTTCATCAGTGTTTCGAAGATGAACGAAAGTCTTATGGGTTTAAAACAACATGACGAGTCAGTAATGACAGAACTTCAATTTTTGGGTGAACTTTCTCAATTTCTTAACTTTCTTTTCTCAATACAGCTGTTGCGGAGCCGCTTGTGCCAGCCAAAGGGAAAAGGGTGAGGCTAGCAGGAGAGGAGGTGATTCTAGTGGAGGAGAGCAGCTCCACAAAGCAAGGAAAAAAGAAGAAAAGATAAAAAGTGCAATAAACACTTTTATTGAAATTATTGGTGTTCTGTTATTTACATTTCCTGTTACCCATGGGCCATGTCATATATCAGAGTGACTTAAAGTGCAATTGTTGATGTCAATAACACTGCAGTTGTAGTAAAGGAAGAAACACTTTGAATGCCAGTGAACCGAAAGGAAAATATATATATATTTATTATTATTATTTATCTATCTATAAAACTGATAAATGTAAAGGTTCTCACCTGCACTCTTGGACTTTTATTTTGAAAATGGCTAGTATGTAATGTTTCAGGAAGTTGAAAAGTGGAGAAGATTTAGCTTTTTCCCCCTAGCAGCAATCATCACGTCTTTCTGTTTTATTTGAGAGTCAAACAAACGTGCAGATATGTCTGTGGATTGGCTTGGTTATGGTTATGCTGCTCTAATAACGATAGGAGGGATCGTTGGTTGTGTTAAAGCCGGTAAGCATCTCATGCGTGGGACAAACGACAGTGTTCAGTTCTCTGGTTTAGTTTTGGGGTAGCTAGGATATGTGAAACACTTAAAAAAAACATTCCAATATGAATTAAAATATTAGGACATTCTAACCGTGTAGATGTAGCCAAGCGTTTAACTAAATTTTTTTATTTAAATATTTTTATTAATTTAATTACCTCTACAACTCACCTTGAAACTTTACTTGAATTATCTCACTGATATATTTGAGTAAATCAGAAAACATGTATTATAGTTTATGCTCATATTTTAGTCAAACATTTACCTGAACTTTACCGGAACTTCCTCATATGGTCATGTTCCTGTTGTAGGTAGTTTTATCTCTCTGGTTACTGGGCTGATGTTTGGCATTGCAGCATTTTTTGGTGCTTATCAGATGTCAAAAAATGACAAAGATATCTGGGTTTCAATGGGTAAGTCACTGTCTTTATTTTTATTCATAGCCTGTATTCTACGAAATTAAGGATCAAATATGGCAAATCAGGTTTGTTTTTTTATATTTGCAGGCACCTCTGGATCACTGACTGCTCTAATGGGAGCGAGATTTTTGAGTTCATGGAAGATTATGCCAGCTGGACTCATGGCAGGAGCAAGGCAGGAATATTTTGTTTATATTTGAATTTTTATTTATCCAAAAATTGTGAGCTTTTGAGCATAGATAAAAGTATGTGTGACATTTACTTGGACAAATGTATTATTTTGGCTGTTGAATTATGTTTTGTTCTTTCTTGCAGTTTATTGATGTTCCTGAGGATTGGTGTTAAAGTGCTGCAGAATTCTCAAAAAAAGAAAAGATGACACTTTACAGACGACTACATGCAGATCTTGAGGACATAGATGTACTGAAATACTTTCATTATACATTTTATACTAGATATATGAAAATGACAATAAAATAACCATTTTATAATAAAATTCAATTTAGGCTGCTTTCATAACTGTAGATGAACAAATCAAAGCAAATAAAATGTATTGCATTTCAAATATTTGTTGAGTTATGTGCACGACACATTACTGATAATTTTCACATTCTCCTGCTAAATCTTGTGAAAACATATTTGCTAGCTGGAAATTCCTCGAAAATATTTATTAATACCAGCTCTAGATTTATAACTTTCTTATTTAAAAGTCTTCCAACCAAAGACATTATTCAGACAACACCCTGTTAGTCACAGTCTGAGATGTATTTACTTTGACCTATAGAGGGCCCAAACATCTTTTAATAAAACCAATATTTTTAGACCACACAAATAGCTGTTATTTTTAAAGTATATAAAGTTGTAATATATTTGGCCAGTTTTATTATAACCCTTTTTTTTCACTGTACAAAATCACAAGAGTGTCACATCATCCATATGACTAAATCTTCATTAAAAAAATACAATAGAATAATTAAAATGTGCAATGTAAAATACGTTCTTTTTATTTAATTACATTTTTGGCAACACTTTACAATTAGGTTCCAATTTTTCAATAGTTAACTACATTGATTAACATGAACTAACAATAAAATATGTATTAATCTTAGCTAATGTTAATTTCAACATTTACTAATACATCATTAAAATCAAAAGTTGTATCTGTTAATATTATTTAATGGACCTGAGCTAACATGAACTAAGTTGTTTTTTTATTAACTAATGTTAACAAAGATTAATACATCCTAACAAATGTATTGATCATTGTTATACAATTATACAATACATGTGTAGCATACGTTACAAGGACACTGTAAAATAAAGTGTTATTAATTTTTCCACACATCTCTGCTGCTGTAAATGTATGTAAAGGAGGTTTCTGATGCTTTTTGTGTTTAATCTTTTATTATGCCTGGGACAATTAAACGTATTGCTTATTATAATGTTCCATTCTCCGAATACATCAGGTGTGCTCATTAAATGTCTCATTAGTGAGCCTCAGGGGTATAAAGCAACCTCGATGCTCAAACAGTCTAGACTACGATCCATCCAGATCCCTCAACGGGGATTTATAAGCACAATCCCCAAGCGCACGGACAAACGCGCACCTAGATGACCCCACATGTGTCCACCGGTTTTGTGCGGCTGGGCTTTTGGTTTCATTACGGTAAGGTGGACCTGCACTGTCAGCACAGGCAGATGTCAGGTGATCAACCGACTATTGCGCGTAGGTTGGACTGTAAGAAATCACAAAATGGCATTTTTTAAATACAAGAGCATCATTTTGGGATTACGCATGGCTGGAAAACGCACCATGTACTACCAGCTCATGTGATGATGCGCTAAATCACTGGGAAATACAGCGTTTGTTGTGTATTTATGATCAAATATCAGCAGTGAGCGCCTGGCCAGATCATGGGGCTGTGTTACAGTCTGCGTCCACGCTTGTTTGGGGACCTCAGTGGATCCATTTCCAACGCCAACTCGGAGTCAGATCACCAGTCTCCGGATCCTGGGATGATGATGATGCCGTCGTGCGTCCGGGGCTCCAGGCATCGCGACGAGGACTCTGGGGGGAATAGCGGGAAGACATCCTCCACCTCCCCTTTACGCACCGGGGACGCCGGTAAGATCCCGGCCGGGGAGCTCCGCCGTGGCGACGGGGACCGAGCGCTCATCCAGAACGGTGGAGGTGGAGGAGGAGGAAAGAAAAGGCTGCAGCTGCTCCAGACTCCCAGCAGCGCCCAGAAACACAAGAACTGGGACAAACTGGTGGTGGAGGAGAAGGAGGCCGAGAAGGAGGCCAAGAAAGTCAGCAAGAACATTGACAGGGCCTTGAAGGAACTCAAACGGGAATATAAACAGACGCATCGGCTGCTGCTCTTAGGTGGGTGATGCTGCCATGCCTACTGTATGTTGGCTTTCTTTATTACTATTATTGAAAATGTGTAGGCATTGACGTCATAAAGCATTGCTTAAAATGTATGCTTGCACTATACTTGATACCTGAATTAATATAATATATTCTCGATACTTGTATAATGCATCATAATACATTTCGAGATCAATTAATACTTATTTTAATGACCGATACCGATTTTTTAAGGTTTATGTCTAGTATATATACACACCTATATATGCTTGTTTTGTATCTGCTTTCGACACCATTAAACTATAACAATAGACTATGCATAATGGATATTTTCATAGTAATATTAATATAATACCAATATTATTCAAGTATGACACTGCTTCTAAACAGTGGGATTTGCAAATTAAGTGGAAAACTTAATGTGCAAAATATATAAGTCGAACCTACAAAAAAAAAATGTTAATAATGAAATATCCATATTATTTGGAGGTGGATTTGCCATTTATTTTAATCCATTGCATTGCGTTAAAAGGATCATAATGATAACGTGTAACTGGGGTTACAATTATTGTTTACACTTTATTTTAAGGTGGCATTGTTACAGTGTAATTATATATTTTAAGTTCTGAGTAATATTAATTAACAACATGTACTATAGGGTTAGGGTTTGGTTGCATGTAATTATGCATAATTTACTGTTATTATTACTATGTAAATTTAACATATGTAACAAGGACACCGTAAAATAAAGTGTTACCCAATTATTTATTAAAAGATAGAATGCATTGCTATGTATATTACAGGGCATTAAGAATACTTCTATACTTCTATACATTCAGGCTTCAAGAAAAATGATTTTGTCATACATTATATTATATTTGGTGTATCTCTTAATTACAGTGTTTTCTTACCAAGAAGTCCTTTTTATTAGCCATAACACTAGAGAAATAAAAAAAAATCAATATTCCATAGACAATATATGGATCTTGTGGTCATTTTAAGTGAGTAAGATATCAGAAAATAAAACTGAGCTCATATAGTTTGTCAGCAAGTGCATGATGCTTTGATAAGATTATAAGTCACAGTTCAAGAATCTATTACTTTGACCTCTGGGACACTGACAACTCACACACAGGATCTTTCTGTTTAATTCTTGGAAGCAACTAACACAACCTGCAAAACTACACACATGCACCTTGGATTTGAATGTCCCCCTGTTGTCAATACTTGTATCCCTTAAAATCCCTTAAAATCTTTGATCACCAAAATTACATATTGTAAACGTTTTTTACTTGGAAAAAAAATTCTTCATGCCTTAAAATAGCTTGAATGTAACTCTACTACACCCTTGCCTCATTTAGTATACGTGGTTCTATATGAATATGCAAATTAGCCCCGCCTCCACTCACTCACGCCAGCTCAGAGATCCACTCGTTGACAATCACACGTTGATCTTATTGGTTACAAGGTAGTTCGTGACGTCAGAAACACCAGCGATATCAAACCGTGTTTTTGAGACCGTCTGCAGTTTTAAGGAGAAAATACTCAGCAATGCTGTCGACTTATGAATTTGCACATGGTTTGTCTTAAAGCATATTAAAAACACCACATAGACATAAACAACATTTCAAAACTTGATTTTCACCACAGGGGTCTTTAAACACACACTACAGAATCATACTGTATCTAATATGACTATACCGCTGTTTTAAATGCTCTCTTTCCACATATGTCTTGAGTACTGGGCTATAAAGATTGGTATGTTGCAAAGTGATGTCTGCATACGTGTTTCTAAAGGCGTGAGTCATTAAGACTAAAGGCATTAGACTTTCTGACAATTTTGATTTCATTCATTTATTGTCCTTTGCTACTGATAACAATGGACTGGCTAACTTCATAACCCACACTGGGAATTTCCAGTCTTTCCATACTCTTTTATGCTGCTATCAAATGGCACTTGACATAAAGAAAGACAGAAGCCTTGTTAATCTGACCTTCACGAACAAAAGGATCAGTGGGGTTCTATATAGAACCCTATAGGGTTCTTCACTCAATTTTAAAGAACACTTTTTGCCAAAAAGGTGCTATATAAAGAGAAATGCCTTGAATGACTGCATAACACTTTCATGTTTCATAGTTATATCGATTTTACCCAGGTTTCACAGACAAGGCTTAAGCTAGTCCCAGACTAAAATGCAAGTTTGAGCTGTTTTAACTGAAAGCAACTTGCCCTGAAATATCTTAAAATATGTCCCTGCCATTGTTTTGTCTCAAGATGCACACCCAAATGTTTTTTTCTAAGGCATGTTTATAAAAACTACTTAAATGTCCTAATTGAACTAAGGCCTAATCCTGACTTAATATAAGCCCTGTCTGTGAAACCAGGCCTTTTCCTAGTGATTAAGTAAGTTTATGAGCTGTTTAATTTAACACATTTAATCAAAATAAAAGCTTAATTAATATTAAATCCATAAAATGATGGGAACCCCTAAAAGGTTCTTGAAGTGCCTGACAGAACCCTTTAGAGATCTATATAAAACCTTTTCTTCTGAATCCAGCAATGATTTGGGATCTGTTTATAAGGATAAATAGATCTCAAATCATTGCTGGATTCAGAAGAAAAGGTTTTATATAGATCTCTAAAGGGTTCTTGTCAGGGAGAGGGCACATTTTTCAGGTTTTACTGACACATGGCTCATTTGAACTCTGAACTCATAGTTGGTCAAACACAAATACAAATACAGAGTGGCATCTCAAGTCCTTGCGCATTCAGTGTTGTGAGATTGAAATTTGGTAAAGGCCAATTAAACAAGTTTGGCTGCAGATAGAGGTGTTGTCAGTTTTTAGAAGTTGATAATAAAAAGAGACAGAGAAGTCATCCAAGATGTGGCTTATAAATTAACTTTATTGTTATCTTTAAGCTTTATGATAGTTATTTTTAGTTCAGAAGAATGACACATCCTTGGGAATGTCTTTGTACAAGTTGTACTGTAACTACTTAAATCAAGAAGTAGATAAAACAGCCCTAAAGTGAATATCATTTCCTTTTAATAGAGGTAACAGGTATTTTTGCCTATGAAATAACATGACTATAGCTTCTATTTAATGACTGTGCAGAAATAGCCTATTTAATGACCATGTTTAGTCTAATAATGGATGGCTCACCCGTAAACAAGCAAAAAGGGGTGTAGTGCTCGTATTAGCGTTGAATACTTTGATTATGGTTGTACCATAGGGAATCTTTTAGGGCAAAAACAAGAGATTGTCATGCTTCCACACAAATTGGTATTGTTCCTTTCTGTTGCATTGCAATGTGAAGTGTATGTAAACTGAACTTTGTCACCCTGTAAATAGGTTTTATCATTTACTGAACGTGTACTTTGGCTCTAGCGTGGCCCTAACTGCATATCGCTGGTTAATTGTAATGAAAGGATTATGCAATATGCTCTGTTGTTTAGAAAGGTTTGAGCTTTAGGTCAGAAACATACATGTGGCTTTTGTCCTTGAGTAAATACAAGCTCCAACAATTTTGCCAAAAACAGTCTTCTATTTAATCTAGTGCAGCGAAACAAATTGATACATGTCTATAAATATCAATATGTGGTATTGTTTTTGAATGCACTGTAAAAAAAATCCCCCTAATTTAACTTAAAACTAAGTTCAGTTGCTGGCGCTGCCTTACGTTAAAAATTAAATCAATTTTGCCTAATTGAATTTAAAGTTGGAATTAGAGTAACAGTAATGGAAAACCATATGTTGCCTTGACTTATTGATAATGTAATTTTTTTTTAAACAATGACACTTCTTGGTAATGAGTTTGAATGAAATATATATTAAACACAATTCAAATATACCAATCCATATCGCCTTTATCAGCTGTTATAGTAGGGCTTACATAACTTAATTGTATTTGGTATGAATTGTTTTGTTTTATTGTTTGAAAACAAAGATTCAGACATCCTTCAAAGCTGAGCTCCACTATCACACATAAATAATGAGATATTAAATGATGAATAGAACTAGAGTGGTTTCTGAATAATCAAAACTTCACATGATGTTGCGGCAATATTTTCAGCTTATTTTGTTGTCTTCCTTCTTGTGGCTGGCAAATAGTTGGACCTAAAGTGTGGGGTTTTTTTTTGGCATAAGTTCTCAGTAATTTTATGCATGTTGTTGTTATATTATATATTTTATGTGTTAAATTAAAATGTCTAAATCTTTAACATCCCTAAACCACCGTATGGACTTTGTTAGCTTCTGTTTTCTCAATAGTTATACCCATTTAAGCCCCTACAAGACATTTTCTTATTTTTGACCTTTCATATCTCAGTGTAAAAGTTGATGTGCTGGAAAAGATGCTTTTACATTTTTATTCATCATAATTTCAATCCACGTTCGATCACATTCACAAGAATGGAGCTAGTGGTCATATTTGGTTTTCCACAGTTGCTTAATGGTTTAACAAAACACTCTTCAGTTCACATGAATTTAAAAGCTTTTTTTAGAATTGATATGAGAAGTGAAAGTCATATGTGTTGAGTATAAAGGAGAACTGCAATTTCTAAAGTAATTTGGTGATATGGTATTTAATCAAATATTTCTGTTTGATGCTGATACGACCAGCCAGGCCAAATAATTAATCTCTAGGTAAATCCGACGCTCTGGTTAAAGTCACTGTCATGGAAATCGTTTTGTTTGCTTTATATACATTTATATCGTGGTGGAACCCATGTAGTTGGTGGTGGTAAATTCACTCCCTTCCAGATCTGGCGATGCCATTGGAGTTAAACTAAAAAAAATGGTCAGTTACACAACCTTCCTCCTTTTTATTTTAATCAGTGTTTTTATTATCTTACATTTCTGTATTTAACTGGCAGTAGCATGTCTAAATGACATAACTGTTGGGCAAGTTATACTCCTTGATTTAAAAAAAAACAAAAAACCCATATATATATGAACTTGTCTGCGTGTGGTTTTAGAGGTAGCAGACCATTTAAGACCAACAAAACCAGCTTAGACTGGTTTAATATTTAGTTATTTTTCAGTATAAAACTCGACAGACATTAGGACCCAGCCATTCGTCTGCTACAATGATGTAGCAGACCATCTTAAACCATTTAAGATAACCAAAACCTGCTTAGACTAGTTAATATGTTTTCCCCCCCAGCATAAAACGACAGACTTTGAGTCCCATCCATTCATCTGCTACATCACATCCGCTACACTTTACATTGTAACATTCTTCACTCTCGTTGTTACATTAAAACGTTCGATTTACGATCTCGTTCGTTACAGTGTTTCGTCAGTCAGTCAGTGATACTTTGTAACAGTTTTCCTGGTTCCGGTCATTACCAGCTGTGACCGACAGAGGCAGTGCTGAGTTACAGACTACAGCAGAGATACAGGCAGAGAATATCACATAGAAAAAACACAGAGAGGGCGAGAGAACCGAAGAGAAGGGAAGAGCGCCTGGCAGGGGCTCACAGAGACCCCCGGATCCAGATGCAAGTTCATATCCCACCTTACCGATCGATATGTGATCAATTTTATCAATCCCGTCGCTTGAATGACGCCCGGACTGCTTGAGACGTTGTAACGGAGGAGAAACAAAAACCTTCCCGGCGACCTTTTTTCTTTTTTCTTTTCTGTCTATTGTGGATCATTTTCTCTTTGGAATCGGAATTGGATTGATCATTCATAAGGACAGCGCACATATTGGCTTCGAGGGAGTAAGATGGGGTGTTTGGGGAGCAGTAAAACCGAAGACCAGCGCATCGACGAGAAAACACAGCGAGAGGCCAACAAGAAAATAGAGAAACAGTTGCAAAAAGAGAGACAGGCTTATAAAGCCACACATCGACTGTTGTTGTTGGGTAAGAGAAGACTTGAGGCGTTATATCTGACATACGAGACCCATCCGAGGCTGTGTTTTTAAATGCACCGTGTTTGACAGCTCAATCTGGCATGTCGGATTGTACATATGAAGAACACACACCGTGATATCTGAAGTATCTGAGAGACTTTGCATGTATTCTCACGGCTGTTTTTTTTTTTTTTTTTTGCTTTCGTAGGGGCTGGTGAATCGGGCAAAAGCACTATCGTGAAGCAGATGAAAATTCTTCATGTCAACGGGTTTAATGCGGAGTGAGTACATGTTTACTGTACTAATGTCATATATGTGCATGTAAGGGCGGTATATGAAGGTTGGGCCCTGTGTTCAGCCTCGGCATGGCGAAGGAAACACTCGTACATGCTGAAGCTGATAGTGATGTAGCACTACGTGCTATCGGCTAGTGCTTCACTGCAACATCACTGTTAAATGGTCATACAGAATCTGGATGTAGGTAATGCATGGCTGAGAAGTGACTAAAATCAATTACCAAATGCTCATCAGATTCAGGCCTATGGGTGTTCAAGTTTCTTAAACACTTTTTGCATCCTAAAAATAATTGTAATAGCATGTCTACATTACATAACTTTGTTGGGCAAGTTATGCTTGAATTTGAAAAATATAATATATATATGGTCAAACTTTAGATTAGGGTCCAATTCTCACTATTAACTATGACTTTTTGCCTCAATAAACTCCTAATTACTGCTTATTAATAGTTTGTAAGGTAGTTGTTACGTTTTGGTACAGTATTAGTTAGGATTAGGGATGTAGAATATGGTCTGCAGAATAAGGAAATAATGTGTGCTTTATAAGTAGTACTAATAAACAGCCAATAGCCTAGTAATATGCATGCTATTATGCAACTAGTTACTAGTGAGAATTAGACCCTAAACTAAAGTGTTACCATATATATATGGGGGGAAATAATAAGTCAATTTAAATGAGAAGTTTAGCCAAAATGAATATCCTAATGTTATTCCAGTCCGGTATGCTGTGTTTTTTTTGTGTGTGTGTCCAACTCCAAACTATATTTATGTTTCTAAGAAAGCAACTTAAAAGTACTTCAGATATGACATTTCAAGTCTTCTGAAGTCATATGATAGCTGCATTTGAGGAACAGTCTGAAATTCAAATTGTTGGTCACTGAAAATCTTTCCATTCACTTCAGCTGTCATATTTCATTCTCCATTTCATGATACGTCATGTTTGGTTACGTTTTGCCAGAAGCGATGATGTTTGGCATCAATAAGTTTCAGGCTGATTCTCACACTAAGCTATCACATGTCTTCAGAAGGCTTGAAATATAGTGCACAAGTCATATAGACTGTTTTTTGTTGTTGTTGTCATTATTTAAAAAAAATAACACCATACAGGTTTGGAATGACATGATGGTGATTAAATGGTGACAGAATTGTTATTTTTGGGGTGAACGATTCTTAGAACGAGGTGTTGCATATGTATAATTCAGCCTTGCAGTTTATTTTTCATATTTTTCTGCCTTTTTACTAAATTTAAATGTTTTCACTTATAGGGAAAAGAAACAGAAAATCCAAGACATTCGCAAGAATGTAAAGGACGCCATCGTGGTAAGTGAGCCGTTCACAGTCCTGATTTAGTTTCTCGAAGTTTTCTATATCTAATCTCAGTCTCATAACTCTTTCATTTTTATTTCTAGACCATAGTGTCAGCAATGAGCACTTTAATACCACCCGTCCCACTCGCTAATCCAGAGGACCAGTTTAGGATCGACTATATCAAAAGCATAGCGCCACTCTCTGACTTTGATTACACACAGGTAAGGAGTCTCATTTTCATCATTGACCTAAGATGCTTTCAGTGACATTTGAATTTGTGTAAATGTGTTGAGGTTTTTGAACCGCTTACCGAGAGGTTTTGTATGACTCTTTTGCATGATTGCAGCTTTATTAAAATTATGAATTTTTGCTTGGTCTTTTTTAAATCACGTACCTGAGGTAAAGTGCCTGCCTCTAGCTAAGAGTTTGGATATGTTTCTAAGGAACGTTACTTTATGGGAACGTTACTTTATGGTTTGTGATTTAAATGGGTGGTAAATATTATAAATTTTAAGAATAAGAATAAAAACAAGGCCCAATAATTTTGTCAGCAGTGTGGGAAAAAGTTCTAGCATTTCTAGCCTAAATAATTTTTTAATGCATTTACAGACATGCTCGGTTAGCATTTTTTACATTTAGCTTTTGTGTATATTTACACACATTTTCAACACTACTCAAAATATTGTAGTTATATTAAATGGTAGTCAAAATAATGTTTTAAAAAAAAAAAAGATGCATACTATAACATGATTAGCATGTTGCTACGATAGTTTACGTTCAGTTTTTGGTTTGTCATGCATTGTTGTTGGATCTGTGGTTTATGAGCACATCAAGTCAAATTAAACCACAAGCTTTTTATGTTAAATTACAGGTTTGTGAGGAATATTTTGAGTTCATATGTAGGATTTAATTTCGAAATTGACTAATCTAGGAGGCCTTGACTAATCCACGGGACAGAGAAACACAATGTAGGTTTTCACATTAAATGCATTTGCATCAATTGCTTTTAGTCATCAAAAAACTCAGGACAAATATAGTCTTTTTGAAATTGCCAGTGAGTGATTTTTGTAATGTAGACATTTTATGTTCCTTGAAGTCGCTGTCTGGCATAGGTTTACTCAAACCGATATTTTTACCAGTCATTGGAAGACACAGAAGTCATGGAAAAGTTGTCGTCGATGTCGTTTTCTTCCAGTGAAATATGAAGAATTCCATCTGATCTTTCTGAATCAGACTGAAACTGACACTAACTATCAAGTTCTCTCTCTATCATACTGATGCAGTCTGCTAGCTTTAGCTTAGCATGTGTTTCTGCTGTGCTTGAGTTTCGTTTGTTAGCATTAGACCGTGTGCAATGGGGTCAGTTATTTTCATTATGATTTTGCTGTGATATTCTAGCACATTTAACGCCTTTGCAGAAAAGTTGGACTGTGGTATGGCAGATGTCTTCAGCCTGTGACTTTTTAGATTGCACAAATGTTGGCTCTTCTTTTTCAGATTGTCATTTTTAGACCGTGTGGACTCTGCTGAAATGGAGATCTGTAATTAGACCGTTTTAGACCCCAGATCTTTTCTCAGCTCAAATTAAGTCCTGGATTTCTCTTTAATTAACTCATGGCAGACATCTATACTCACCTGTGAATTCATACATTTTAGAAATGTTTTGACAGTTGGATTGTAAATACTGGAACTTCCAGAAAGTTCAGTTCCTATTTAGAGAGTAGTTTTCTGTTTACTCTTGGGTTCAACAGGTGATAGATACAATATTGACTGCTAACATGTATTATTTGTTTATCTTAAATTTGCATAAAATTTGCAAGATCACACTGGAGGAAGTACTGAATCCAGATAGAGATTTCAGTAACACTTTACAATAAGGTTTCATTTGTGAACTTTAGTTAGTTAACTACATTAGATAGTATGAACGAACAAGGAACAATGCTTCTACAGCATTTATTAATCTTAACTAATGTTAATCTCAACATTTACTAAAATATATTTAGCCCACAAGTTGTATTTGTTAATATTAGTTTATGCACTGTGAACGAACATGAACATTTTTAATCATTAACATTAAAGATTAATGAATGCTGTAAAAATATATTGCTCATTGTTAGTTCATGACATGTTAGTTAATGCATTAACTAATATTAACAAATGTATTGAGCCCCTAAAGATGGGAGGAAAAATAATAGGTCAGTGCTTTTGCGTTTTTGGGGAACGCAAAAGTTTTGTGAGAAAACGCAAAAAGCATTGGAATATATATTCTCCTCCCATCTCAATTTTTTTTTAAATCACCATATCCCTTTAGAGGCTCCGTACAAATGAGTCCTTGTTATAAAGTACCTTTTAACAATGAGATTTCAAACATTAACACACAAGTGTTCCTCTGCTGTTACTTCCTTCAGTAGATATTCAGTGGTTCATGAAAAATATATTTACATTTTTCTACTAGGGCTGCACGATTTATTGAAATTACGGTATCGAAATCTAACAAATGAACATATCACAATGGCTTAATACTCCAAGATATTACAAAAAGTCCAAGTTTTAGGTCGACGCAGAGAGTAGACTGGACACAGGATTGTTACATACATGTGACATGCTTAATGTTATTATGTGCAATAACAAGTGAAGTATTCATGCGCACAGAAAGCCGCCTCTCGGACCCCATGTGATCCTGAATTCAGTTCTCTTCCACAGCTTATATGGCCAAATACACACAAAATTATGTAAAAATGCCCATCTTGGTGAGTATTCACGTAAAGTAAACGGCCGAGAAAGAAAGAAAGTGTGTGTATAACACCATATTGGATCCGTGCATCTCTTAAAGTGACAGCAGCCTAATAAACCTGCTTCCGCCTGTGTCGTTTGTTGTTTGATTATTTAACATTAAGCACAAAAAGGTCTGTTGGTTGTGCTCACCGGCAATGGTAGAATGGCTCCCAGGCCCAGATAATAGTGTATATTCACAATAATTTTATTTACTGATCTAGAAGTATTATTATAATTATTATTATTATTAAAAAATACAGTGCTACCACTACTACCACTCCTACTTTTATTTTCATGAATGCTGTTTGTTGCCAAGTACTACCGCCATTATCGCCACTATTTTTATCTTTGTTATAATTATTATTATTAGTATGAATACTGCCTCTACATCTACTACAATTCTATTACAATTACTATGAATATCTCAATATTGCTTCTATCTAAATCTCTAAAATATCCCATTGCTTAAACTTACCAATGTACCTGCATACATCACTAGATCCGATATATTTTATATTTAGCTGTTTTTTTTTTTTTTACTTTGTGTGTGCTCCATGTACGTCTCTCCTTCTTTTGTATGTGTATATAATTCAATGATCTTTTATCTTGTATAAACTACAATGTTTTTGTTAACTTGCAATAAAAAATAAATAAAATTAAGCACAAAAAGAAAATCACTCACTGCTTGTGACTGAATAACTTTTGCAGCTTTAATACGAATCCGTGTATATTTGATTCATACAGTGAAGACTAAGCAGTGTTTTATTTTTACATTTGATTATTCAATTTCTGTTATTAACCCTAATGTAGGCTTACCTAAACCCCCTGGTTAAAATCACACTTACTTTTTATGTAATGCTACAGTAAAACACTGCTGTGTTCACTTTCAGAAGTTGTAGGGATGCTATGCTTTCTTCTCGCAAAAAAGAATGTGAAACATTTACGTTGGTTATATAATTTTCAGGTGAATTTTAGCATTATCGTATTGAATATCGAATATCGCGTTATTTAACTATTGCGTTTTTCTTCAATATTGTGCAGACCTATTTTCTACTAATATTTGGTCATAAGCTCTGAAAAGTACATGAATGTTAAAAAAGTAATAATGTACTTCAATATGATTTTTAAGCGCTTTATGTAAAGTTGCAAACAAACTAAGAACAGAAACTAGCGTTTGAATGCTTGCAAGATGAGATGTGCTCGAAGCAGCGCTTGAATCCACAGTGGTGGGCCGGTGTGATCAGTCAGTCTATTTCCAGAACAGCCAAAAGGCTTTTAACCAAAACACATTTTATGAATGTAGCTGGAAGTATGTCGTGGTATCAGTTCAAGAAATAGCTCTCAAATGAAGTGAGGCAGACATGGTTCTAAAAACGGTTGCTAAATTCAATCATTTAGTTTTTAGCATGCAAACATATAAACATTGATTTATTTTTTTCCACAGGAGTTTTTCGACCACGCGAAGAAGCTCTGGGATGATGAAGGCGTTAAGGCGTGTTATGAACGGTCCAATGAATATCAACTAATTGATTGTGCGCATTAGTAAGTATAAGTTTTATCATAATAGTTCACTTTAATTGAATCCTATGATGATGGTGGCTTTTTGTGAACTTGATGAAGTTGATTGCATATTGCTTAAGATGCAGCTACAAAATGTCTGATGCAAGATTTGATATTTATGATATTAGCACAAATAAAAGGAACCACTAAACGGCACAAACAAATAATCACAGCTATCATTTATGGTCATAGTGGTCGTTGCAGTCAGTCATTTGGTTTTACTGATGTTTTAAACAGAATCTCTTAATCAGAATTGTATTTATGCTGCGGTTATAGTGTGTTAATGTGAATCTAAAGGGAATGTATTCAGTATACATTTCAAGACTCGGTATGGGCCTGTTCAAAAGTTTGGGGTCGGTCATGATTTTTGTTTTTTAGTCTCTTTTCTCATTTATTTGATTATAAATACAGTAAAAATGGTATTGTTAAGAAAGTATTATTTGAATATATTTTAAAATATAATTTATTCCTGTGATCAAAGCTGAATTTTCAGCATCATTACTCCAGTCTTCAGTGTCACATGATCCTTCAGAAATCATTCTGATTTGCTGTTTAAGAAACATTTCTTATTATAATTATCAATGTTGAAAACAGTTGTGCTGATGATCTTTCTGTGGAAACCGTGATACTTTTTTAAAACGAAGAATCCTTAAGAAATACGTTCAAAAGAACAGGATTTACTTGAAATCTAAATCTTTTGTAACAGAAGTGTAGGTATTTATTGTGACACTAATTTGGATAAGTTATCTAACTGACTAGTTGATTAGTAAGGCAAACTATTGTTGTTGTGTAAGTCACTGACAGTGCTGAGCTTTAGCTGTTTGACAGTGTGCACTGGAAAAACATTCTTGGAAAAGTTGCATCTGTAAACCAGTTCAGCCTAACAATGAATTAGTCTGTTTTGAAAATATGTAGTTTTGCACATCCCTGTAAGGAACGTGCCTGATCAGGTTCAGAAGAACCTGAAACCAACCTATTTATTCAACGGCTTCCTTAACATGGCCAGGCAGCCAACTACAAACATGTCGTATATGTATTAAAGTTTCTTTGCCTTTTGAAATGGAGACATTCTAGGTGGGTGAATGTGTTTTTACGTCCACTGTTGGCTTTTTTAGGCCAGTGCTGACGTTTGTCCTGTATAACAGTGGCCGTGTGTCAGGTATGAAAGTGTGAGGAGGGTGGTCAGGTCATGGGAGTTGGTCAGCCGCTCTGTAGGACGCAGATACCATCACCAGCTAGTGCAGGGCCTGACGCATAATGGCGACTGTTGTCTCTCAGTCAGAAAAGGCCCGGAGATACTCGGAGAATCATACAGACACCCAGCTGCTCTCAATACAGGCTTGTTCTTTGTGGAAGACTTTTACAATACTGAGAATTCCTCTGTTATACAACTTCGAATCAATGTCTGCTCAGATATGTTTGCTGCGATCCAGGGGTGTGCAGTCGTTGAGAAAGTTTTTCAGATAAATCGAATTCGCCTTTGGCTAAGCCCCGCCCCCCTTAGTTACTGTTGCTACGTCCGACAAACAAAACTTCATCTGGGCTCTGGTATCAACATGGCTTATGCTGTGACAGCTCTTCCTGCTGAAATTTTATCAAACTTTTATAAAGCAGCAAATAAAGTGTCCGATAGAAGTAGGCAAAAGGGGCTGCAATATACGTTCGAAGGCTATATTCATGACATACAGGTGAAACGCAAGGAACAACAAGGCATCCAAATAGAGGCAAAAGCATACCGGTCACAGTCAAAAAACGAACCACCGCATATCCTACTAATGGAGACGGAGGCTGGGACTAACAATATCAAGGAGCAACACTGTTCATGCTAAGCTGGGTAGGTCTCTATTCACTTCTATAATCATTATTACAAAGCAAACGGACAACGCGAGTATAACGTTGTATTTATTAGCAGCGTGTGCTAGACGACACTTGTCAGGATTTGACTTCGGTTTGGGAAGGGAAAAAAACGCACACCCCCCTCCAACCTCTCTGGGAAACGCGTATCTGTGTTACAAATGCCCCAGGCACAACATTTAACCCTATTTTTGATAAAACTACGACGGTAATAGCCGGCCGAGACAAAAAATATGAGACGCCTGTGTTAAAGTCAATGGAGCGCTGTGAAAAGTGTCGGACCACTGTGGGAGCTCGTTCTTGGCTGCGCTGTGATTGGTCAATCTACATTCTAGGGTGTGGCTTAGCCAAAGGCGAATTGCTTCCACTTTGTCGTACTTTGTCCCTGCAGAAGTCGCCCTCATGATTCTAGAGATGCGCAATTTATCGAAATAAAACGGAAATCACGATTAATATAAATAATTATATGCATTATAACTATAATTATATAACATTCATTTGTGAACACGACATGCGGCAACAATCTTCCCATGCCTGTCATCCACTAAAGTTAAGCTTGGTTTTCAGTTCAAATAAAAGTTTGATGGTTAAACATTTGAAAATAAAGCATTTAAGAGAAATTTATATTGGTATTGTAATTTTATAGATGTAATGTAAAATGTAAATTATTATAAAATATTTTTTTTACTGTAAAGTATTACAGTAGTAATATTTCTTATTTTAACTATACTAGCATCCACACCAGCGAAGGATATCATTCTGTTTATTATCTGAAGTCAGGACGCTCTGCAGTTTTGACATCTGCTCAAGTTCTTTAATGCAGGGTGGATTCTGATTGGCTGTCAATGTTTTTATTGTTCTTCATCAGCTGGAAATACTCGTTCTGAAAGTGATTCCAACGATATTGTTTCTCTGTGCCATTATCGTTATAGTTGAGGTGTGGACTCTACTATTAATTTATATTTAGAATAATTTTTAGAACTATATATCGTTATAGTTATCGTCGACAGTGTGAACGGATTTAAGTCTGTGAGATTTTTACGCCTGTTTTTGTCCACCCAGGTGTTCATTAAATTACCTTGAAAAGTAATAGCACACATTTCCTCAACAAACATTCATACAACACAAATGTTGCAGGACGAGTTACGCACTAAAGTTAAAACACCAACCCTGAGCGAGAACAATTATAATATTTATGCTGGCTTTGGCAAACGCCTTTAATCCAATAATTATATCTCTCAGTATTATACCAGTAATAAAGTATTATATCTCTCTTTAGACTTTCGACATTATATTTGACAACACATCACTATATATATATATATATATAAAAAATCCATCATTTAAGAGAAACCATCATTTAATCTAAAAAGCCATAGAAAAATACAGTAAAATGCACTATTTTCTTTACTAAATAAACTGAAGAATGATGTTTAAGAACGTTTATATGTAGTATTAAATTATAATATTTATTTAAAAAACTCTTTTTTTTTTTACTACGACATTTTAAAGCTTGTAAAATGCCATGCACTGTTCAGACTAAAGCTCTACAAATTTAAAAAAGTGATTATTGTATGTTTTGCATTTATTTATTTATGTTTCCTGGTTGGGTTACCAAACATGTAGATGATATATTTTTATTTATATATTTCCTGGTTGAGTTTTTATAAATTAAGGCATTCACAACACAACATACTCACATTGCTATCGGAGAGTATTACAATTTTTCTCAATCGTTAGAATATGTATAGCTAAACCAGAAAGTGGCATTTGTTGTAAAATGTTTTGCCATTATTTAGGCTACTGTACCTCAATACTGTAAATCTATAGCAGAACTGAGCAAACTCTATTCAGTGTGTTCTAATCAAGCTGTTTTATCACAATGCATCTTAACTGCCCTTTGGCCTGTGAGCTCATTGAACGATCCCTCGTGATTTTGTGACATCTGTCTGTGTTCGTTTCTATTTATCTATTGCGTGTCTATTTTAAGGCTGAAAGAAAACGGATTACATGTCAATGTCAAACCGCCGAGACGCACACAAATACACGTTTGTACGCGAGTGAGAGCGTGCTGTTGTGATAGAGGACACTTGTACAGAAACGGTGAAAGCGGCAGTCCGAGCGAGAGAGATCCCAGTTGTGTGTGTGTTCTGTATGGAGATTGTGTTTGGGCTGTCTGTCCCCCTCCTCCCTCCACCAGAGCTTATGTAAAGGAACAGCGCAGCCGGGGCAAGCAGGAGCTATTTATAGCACAGCACTGCAGAGCACTCACTGGTGGAGGGTGTCACGTGTGTGTGTGTGTGTGTGTGTGTGTGTGTGTGTGTGCGCGCCGCCGAATCAAAGGGAGTATCCCGGCAATGCGCGTAAACAAAGGAAGGTCAGAAAGAGAAGGTGAGGCGCAGAAAGGGCCCTTGTGTTAGTGTGTGTGTGTGTGTGTGTGTGTGTGTGTGTGCGGTTATACATATCAGACCCTCATAAGTGCTTAAATGGAATAAACATTCACTGATGTACAGCGGCGGTCTCTCTTTCTCTTCTTTTTTTCTGCCTTTTCTTACATAGATATACACAAACAAACACGCACATGTGCAGTTGATAAAAATAGCAACAGATTATGAATTCCTTTTTTAGCATTTCGGATTTCTGTTTCGAGATTTTGCCAGCGTTTACCTAAAAATAGAACGACCCCACACAACTGCTCAAAGCTACGAAAACCAGTAATGATTATTAAACCATCATGCAGTTATATTAATGTTACTTGCTCCAATATTCCATAAAAAAAGATTTGTCCATTTTGAATTGATGGCATTTATTATAAATGATTTATCTGTGCACTTTTTTTTTTTTTTTTTTTTTTTTTTTTTTTTTTTTTACTCGTGTGCTCTCGTAACCTTTAATCAATGTGACAATAGGGAAGAAAAGACTATCGCAACTTCCTTTTCATGCTGACTTTGAATATAGTTTTTTTAATATGATTTACAATAGACAGATATCTTGTCAAGTATGTTACTTTAATACATGTAGGTTACTTTGAGCTCAAGGATTTTTTTTATTCTGTAATTATTTTTTTTTCCCTCTGGTCCCACAGATGTAAAATTTAATTATAGCAGCATATTTTTATATTTGTAAAA